TGAAGAATATAGCCCTTAAGAAATTTTTTAAATTACACTTATTTGAACTGACAAAACTAAAAGGAGAGTGAATATGCTGTGAACTTACCGGCTCTACAGTTTTAGCAGAGCCTTAACTTTTTTTAATCCTCAGATGTCAGCTGGGAGTGCACAGAATAACCGGCTGATGGGAAAAGAGTAGTGAAAAGTATCTTAGTGGGGCTCCTGGGGGTACAGTCAGTTAAGCAGCTGACTCTTGGTTTCGGCTCAGGTCATGATCTTGGGGTCATAAGATCCAGCCCCGAGTGCAGCTCTGCGCTCAGTGAGAAGTCTGCTTGAGATTCTCTTTCCCTCTCCTTCTGCCCCTCCTGCGTATTCTCTCTCTCTCTCTCTCTCTCTCACTTCTAAAATAAATAAATCTTAAAAAAAGAATGAAAGAAAAATATCTTAGCAAAGAAATGCAACCATCCCTTCTTTCCCGTGGTTCATCCTCTGCCTAGGTATGCCAATAAATAGCAGGTGTCAGGGCACCTGACACCGTAAGGTTCTTGCACTTCTCCCCAGTTATCCCTTTACCACCCTTATGCACCATCTCTACCCATCCCACCCACCCTCATACTCTGTAAGGAATCCAGTGAAAATTTAACAAGAGGAGGAAGCTTTCTAGAGAGCATAAGAATTTTCTATTATGTGTCTCTTCATTGCTCACTAAAATCATGCCAGCATGGCCTGAGGAGAAATGGGAAGAGCTGGCACAGACCCATATAAGGTCATTGTATTCTCCAATAGCTTTGAGATAAGTAACCCTTGTCCAAAAAAATCTTAAAAAGCTACTTCCTCATTCCCAGGAGATAAATTCTAGAGACTTCCTCAAATGAAAAAAATTGAGCATGCCGCTTTCTTTTTTTATTTTTCTATTTTAGGACGATTTAAATGGGTGTTAATACCTACTAAGCTCTTAATAAGGGCAGGAGCAGATAACAAAATAATCAGAAGAGTATCCCTTGTAAAGTTTAGCAATTTATGGTTTGGTTCATCTTATTTGGGGCACCGGAAAGCACCTTACAAATAAAGTAATGAGGATTTTTTCTTCCACGATTCCCAAGGTGATTTTTGGCACTCTTGGAAGCACAGATGATTAATCAAGTCACTGGGGACAAGCAGCAGTAATGTGATTGTCAAACTATGGATATTGATCAAACTGTGCTTCATTCTCATGTAACGTGTGTGTGTGTGTGTGTGTGTGTGTGTGTGTGTGTGTGTGTTGGGAGATGGTCAGTGGGAGAATCGGTACTTTCAACATTGTTCCTGAGAGAAGATTAGCAGGAATTATTAAATATTCTTATATTTCATAAAAATTCAAAACCTGAGAAAAATATTGAGGAACTCATACTCCAGTCCCTAAACTCAAAATCAGAAGGTTCTTAACCTGGGGGCATAGATTAAAATTCAGACCATCTGTAAATCACCTGGCATTGATTGATTTTACAATTTTTTTTTCCCCCAGAGAGGAGGGAAAAAAGGAAGACTTTGTGCTTGCCTCTTGTTTAGAGTTTACTGCTATGTTGATATTCTCTCTTATATACAGAGAAGAGAGGAAAAGGAAGGAGGAGGAATAAAGAGAAACCAGGAGTCTCATCAGTTCTGTCCCAAATCAAATCAACCAAATTATATGAAATTTGTACAAGATATTTATCTGTTAACTTTTATATTGTATTTGTATTAAGATTTAATAATAGTATAGTATGATCATCTTCCTTTCAAAAGCCTCTGAGGTTTCAAACTGGTTTAGATGGTATTTTCAGAGTCTGTGGTATAACAAAAAATGTAGATATTAGTTAAATTCAGGGAAGCTGTTTAGAATAAAGGTGTGTCAAAAAATCTCTCTAGTATAAATTTCTGATTATTTGTGTTAAATCCTTCGGAAGTACCTTCAATGAAATGGCTATACCATTTCCAGCAATACAATTTTGTATTGAAAGGAGCTATTTAAAAAGACAGAGGGTAATAAAAAGACATACTTCTTTATTTTCAGAATACTAGTTTCAGCAGATAAAAACCCATATGATTCCAATACTAATTAAAATGGAATGCTATTCTTGCTTAAGTAAATAATAGAAAACTTTCAAGTGAAACCCGATTCTTCTCATCATGCTCCCAAAACCCCACAAATTCAGAATTGTTTCACTAATGTCCCTGTGTAATTAATCAACACACATAATTCTGTACATAGCAGAATGAACTTTGATAGAATCCTCTGTCCCTTTTCTGTGTTACAAAAGGCATTCTTAATCTTTTTAATTCTTTATTCTTAATCCCAAAGAGGCATATACATGTTGGATTTATCTGTCTTGTAAATAAAAAAACCTGTCACCTTTTCTTTAAGATTGCTCTCAAAATTAATTCCACTTCAAATTAATACATAAATATCGAACACTCTGTAGTCCCCAAACACTTCATTAGTTGACAACGTGCAAAGGCAGATTATGACATAATTTAAAAATTAAGCAAGAAAATAAATGAATATTTTATAAATTTTATAACTTTTAAATAGTTCTTTCTTTAAATGAATATTTAAACTTCTTTAAATAAATGTCGGCATGGTTTGAATCTAAATTAGTAAGGATATATGGGATTTCTTCTTTTATGAAAATATTTCCCCTGTCAATGCCTTTCAAAGCACATAAAAGCACACACTTACCCCATGTTGCTTGCTGTGGTTATATCATCCTCAGATCAAGGCTTATCTGGATTCTAAATTAATTTAAAGGTTATATAAAAAAAAAAAAAAAGCAGGAGAGGTTTGACTTCCCCGGAAACGAGATTGTCATATGCTAACTAGGCTTTTAAATGAGGAAAACTAGTGTCTCTTCTGATTATATAAGCTTCAGGTCAAATTCTAGCATCAACTAATCAACTGAACTGGATTTACTTTCAAGGAGTAAAAGAAAGCTGTTAAAAAGGAATGAGTTTTTTATCCTAGAAAACTGGGAACTTGAGCATTAAAAAGTTATTTCTATATCAATACAAAGCTAAAGATTTTTTAAAGCAAAGTATTTATCTTGTTACTTTAAGTACTTTTAAAGAAAAATATCAGGGAAAATTTAGTTTGCCATAAAACAGGTATTTTTCTATATTTTCCAGAAGTTTTGAAATTGCATTATATGTCCTTTCCTGAAAACATCCTCTCACTTTGTCTTAATGTGTATAAATTCCAGTAAATAGTATTTACTCCTAAAACATACCAATTAGTGCTAACCAACAAATCCAAAAGTGTCTAATTTTAAAAATTCATCTTTGAACAGTTAGAAATAGGGTATTTTGAAATTAAATACATAATCTATGGTTATGGGAAACTAACCAAAATACCATTTTTACTTATATTTTAAAAGATATTTCAACCCAGATTTATAATAGTACAACAGAAATTTTTTAAAAATTTAGCAATGACATATTGAGAAATACAAATTTCCACAGGATTTTGAATGAAGAAATATGATATGGAAGTTACTGTTTATAGAATTTTTTGGTCATTTTTCAGAAAAATAGTTTCAGCACTCAGGTCTTTATTGTAATTTTTAATATGTAGCTGTTATGTACTCTTCTGGTAATTTTTAAATTGTATTATCTAAAAAGTAAAAAAGCTTCCTTGACATAGAATACATGAGGGCACATATATCTACTTTTCGAAAAATTGTAATATAATTCACATAGCACAAAAATTGCCCTTTGTGAACAAGTCAATGGTTTTAATGTTCATGAGATTGTGCGACCTTCAGCACTAATTCTAGAATATTTCCGTCACCCCTGAAAAAAAACCCTATGCCTCCCAGTTCCTTCCTCCCATGGCAACCACTCATCTACTCCCTATCTCTATGGATTTGCCTATTCTGGATATTTCACACAAAGGCCACACAATATGTGGCCTTTTGTGACTGGCTTCTTTCACTTAATATATTTTCAAAGTTCATTCATGTTGTAGCATGTGTCAGTATTTCATTCCTTTTTTATGGCTGAAAATATTCCTTTATATGGATATATACCACATTTGGTTTATCCATTCATCGGCTGATGGACATTTTGGTTGTTTCTGATCTTGAGCTGTTATGAATAATGCTGCTGTGAACATTCCTATACAGTTCAATTTATTTGGGGGACATAGTTAGGAATTGCTGGGTCATACTGTAACTGTATGTCTAACATTTTGAAAAATTGTTCAATAGCAGCTGTACCATTTTATATTCCCACTAGAACTGTTGGCAGTTTCCAATTTCTCCCTATCATTGCCAAGCTTTGTTATTGTCTGTCTTTTTTAATATAGCCATCTGAGTGATTGTGAAGTGCTATCTTATTGTAGGTTTAATTTGCATTTTCCTGAAGAGTATAATGATTTCATTTGCTTATTACATATTTGCATATCTTCTTTAAAGACATGTCTATTCAAATCCTTTGCTCATTTTTTAATTGGGTTGTATTTTTATTTATATGTATTTAAATATGAGTTCTTTATGTACTCTGGAATCTAAATCTGTATCAGATAAATGATTGGTAAATATTTTCTCCCATTCTGTAGATTCTTTTCATTTCCTTGATAGCTTCCTTTAACACACAGATATGCTTTTTAATTTTTTAATTTATTTTTTATTTTTTTTTAACACAGAGATATGCTTTTTAAAGAAGACAAAACTCAGGCACAGGGTTGGAAGTTTCCTTTGCCAAGATTTAGATAGTTCTGGGGCACCTAGGTGGCTCAGTCGTTAAGCGTCTGCCTTCAGGCTCAGGTCATGATCCCGGGGTCCTGGGATCAAGTCCCACATCGGGCTCCCTGCTCGGCAGAAAGCCCACTTCTCCCTCTCCCACTCCCTCTGCTCGTGTTCCCCTCTTGCTGTGTCTCTGTCAAATAAATAAATAAAATCTTTAAAAAAAAAAGATTTAAATAGTTCTGCTATGTTTATTAAAATGAATCACATAATTTATTTTATTTTTTAAAAAAGATTTCTTTCTTTCCTTCCTTCTTTGAAAGAGAGAGTGTGTGCTTGCATGCATGAGAACAGGAGGAGAGGCAAAGGGAGAGAGAGAATCTTAAGCAGGCTCCACACCTAGAGCAGAACCAGATGCTGGCCTGGATCTCGTGACCCTGAGACCATGACCTGAGCCAAAATCAAGAGCTGGACACTCAACTGACTGAGCCACCCAGGCGTTCCCATATAATTTATTTAAAGTAATTATAAGATGATGAAAATAAAGTTCAAAAAGGCATTGAGAGATGGTTTTATTGGCAAAATTATGATAGAGAGGTAGTATATGAAGTTACTTAGGTGACTAAGTTTTCCTTATAACTAAAAAGTTCAGTTGCCACATTAAAATTTTAATGCCAAATATACTACATGTGGAGCTTTAGTCTCAGGCCTGGAGCAGCAGTGAAATGAAAGTTACCACACCATTCTAGTCCCTGGATGTCAGTATATTGTCCTTCACCTTCCACCCTGCAATAGTGAAAAACAAATTTGTTCATTAACCAAGACCAAGAATTTACAGTCCAGGTATAAGATTGTCTAACATATTACACTCTACACCTGAAGAATTATATCTTTCCACTTTCAAACTTTGATTTAAAATTCAGAATCCTAAAAATAAAATAAAATAATAAAATTCAGTATCCTGCTTTTATAGTGTACCAAAACCATTACTATTCCAAACAAACATTGTTATTATACAAATTTTGGTGTCTAAGATTTTAGGATCACACACACTAAGTTTACACAAAACCAAACAATCAGTTAAAAAATGAAAAGTCCATATTAATTCATTCATTTATTCAACAAATATTTATAGACCATCAACTATGTGTGAGGTGCTGTGTGAGCTATGTGGGGGTTTTCTTGGACTCTTGGGAGTAGTGAAAATGTATCACATAAACAAACAGACCTTATGCCATGGGTTGGATTTTTTTCCTTCATTAACATCAGTGGACAAAATTTGTGTCATCAGCACACACTTGGGAGTCAAAAAAGGTGAACGCTCTTCTGCCCTCCTCAAAATGTATTTATATCAACCACTTCCTAAAAATTAGGTTGCATTTTCAATTCTAGAAATAAAGGGATATTTATAAATGAACATGAGCCTCTGGATGACATGGGATGGTATTCAGTGCAAAGATTAAGCTTTTAAAAGTATGCATTTGGGGCGCATGGGTGGCTCAGTGGGTTAAAGCCTCTGCCTTTGGCCCGGGTCTGATCCCAGGTTCCTGGGATCAAGCCCCGCATTGGGCTCTCTGCTCATCGGGAAGCCGGCTTCTCCCACTCTTTCTCTCTCTGCCTGCCTCTCTGCTTACTTGTGATCTCTGTCTATCAAATAAATAAATAAAATCTTTTAAAATAAATAAATAGGGGTGCCTGGGTGGCTCAGTGGGTTAAAGCCTCTGCCTCTGGCGCGGGTCTGATCCCAGGGTCCTGGGATCGAGCCCCGCAATGGGCTCTCTGCTCAGCAGGGAGCCTGCTTTCCTTCCTCTCTCTCTGCCTGCCTCTCTGCCTACTTGTGATCTGTCTGTCAAGTAAATTAAAAAAATAAACAAAAATAAATAAATAAATAAATATAAAAGTATGCATTTGTTTCATCTCATTTTTATTTTTCCTTCAAGCATAAGACCAGAAAGGACAACAGTGAGTACATTTCTACAATTCGAAAACTAATTTTGCTTACATTTGAAAAATTAGGTTAGTAAAAATACACACATATATCAGGTCAAAATCCAATAAACAATTATGAAATTATCCCCCAAGGCTGCTTTTTAAAAAATTTATCAGGATAGTGGTGTCTGTGTGGCTCAGTTGGTTAAGCATCCAACTCTTAATTTTGGCTCATGGCCTCAAGGGTGTGAGGTCAAGCCTGGCTTCGGGCTCCATGCTGGGTGTGGAACCTGCTTAAGATTCTCTCTCTCCCGGGCGCCTGAGTGGCTCAGCGGGTTAAGCTGCTGCCTTCAGCTCAGGTCATGATCTCAGGGTCATGGGATCAAGTCCCACATCTGGCTCTCTGCTCAGCGGGGAGCCTGCTTCCCTCTCTCTCTCTCTCTGCCTGCCTCTCCATCTACTTGTGATCTCTCTCAAATAAATAAATAAAATCTTTAAAAAAAAAAAAAAAGATTCTCTCTCTCCCTCTCTCCCTGCCCCTGTCTCTTTCTCTAAAATTAAGGGGAAAAAAGTGTATGAGAATATTTCAAGTCAAAGTAATTTTTGGCCTAAATTTTCTCAATAATTGTGACAAGCTTTCCATTTCCAAGCTGATGGCAAAAAGTTCTATAGCAATAGGAGAGGTAAGAAGAAATAAAAGAAAAGTCTAATCAATTATCAACAAGAATATTTTCTTTTGGAGGCTCATGATGGTCTTAGCCTCTCTTTATAACATTTTCCCTAAAAAATAACCCAACAATTCGTTTCTTTTCTTTTCTTTTTAACAGAGAGGGAGGGAGAGAGGTGGAGGAGGGGCAGAGGGAGAGAGAGAATCGTAAGTAGCCTCCATGCCAGCTCAGAGCTCAATGCAGGGCTCAATCTCATGACCCTGAGATCATGACCTGAGCTGAAATTAAGAATCTGATGCTTAACCAACTAAGCTACCCAGGCGCCCCTAATCAAACAATTCTTAATAAATATATTATAAATATATTTTAATGAAATATATTATAAAAGAATATAATAGCATTGACTAAATAAAACATTTAAGCAAACATACCTGAAAAGAACCTTTTAGAATGACAATGACTTTATTTTAAGCCTACCTATTTTCATTGAAGTTTCCAGTATACTTTGCCCCATTTGGGAATGTATAAGTCCCCAATCCATGAAACATATTGTCCTTGAAGTGTCCTTCATACACTGCTCCTGAAAAATGCTCAAGTCTTCCAAAACCATTCATCTGTTTGTAACAAAGGAAATGACCTCAGTAACTAACATTCAATTTCCCTAGAATATTTTAAAAATGTACATATATGTCTATCATCTACTTAGTTATTATTTAATCTATCACTGTACCACCCTTTTTTTACACAAAGATAAGACAACATCCACCATTTCTTATTGTCCTTCAAATGCATCTCTTTCTGAAGCCCGCTAAGTCTAATGTTCTTGAGCTGGGGCATTTGAACACCTAGGAGGTCAGGGATGATGATAATAGGGTCCTTAAGATATCTTGAACATATCAAAAATCTTAAAGGATAGCCAGTTTAGTTAGTACAGGAAACAGTACAAAGAAGTTGTTAGGAAGAAAAATTTGTATTCAGGCAAACCTGGTTTCATCACTCACTGGGCAAGAAACCTAAGCCTGATTTCTCTCATTTGTAAAATAGGAGCATGAGTGGTACCTACCTCGTGAGATGCTATGAGGGTTAGATGAGTAAATTATGTAAAGCATTTAGTTTACTCAGTGAATAGGAGATGAGAAAGATGATAATAAAGATGACAGGAGGCCTGGCTGGCTCGGCCAGAGGAGCATGTAACTCTTGATCTTGGGGAGGGGGGTAGCTGGGACGGGGGTGAGTTTGAGCCCCCAGCCACCAAGCAGAGATTATTTAAATCAACAAAACTTTAAAAAAAAATGACAAGGGGTGCCTGGGTGGCTCAGTGGGCTAAGCCTCTGCCTTTGGCTCGGGCCCCGGGATTGAGTCCCACATCAGGCTCCCTGCTCATTTAAAAAAAAAAAAAAAAAATCTTAAAAAAAAATGACAAACCCTGTATGACTTTAATATCACTCCTATGTTCATATCAGTTATTTTTACTGTATAGTCTACTCACATGTGTTTTTCATTAATGGTGAAATGTCAGGAATAATTTAAGCAATAGGCTTACTTATCTGCTATCAATATTACAACAACAATACCTTGTCATCTTTCCAGCTTCCTTTATAGACAATCCCATTAGGAGTGGTATGAATACCTATTCCATTTCTCTCAAAGATTCCAGAAGATGTTCTTATACAGTCACCATCTAAATAAGAGAGAAATATATTGTAATCCATTATGAATGGGAACCTTGTTTGACTAGGTAATAAAGTATTTATGTTCAAGACTAATAACAACTGCATCCCTATGGGTCTCTTTGGCTCCCTAGCATTGAAACCAATGAGGCCAGAAATAAGGAGCTCCATGGACTTAGAAGGTCTTGTTTTTGTTTTTAAGTTTATTTATTTATTTGTTTAAGTAATCTCTTCATCCATCATGGGGCTCGAACTCATGACCCCAAGATCAAGGGTTGTATGCTTTTCTGACTGAGCCAGACAGGTGTCCATTAAGTCACGTAACCATTAAAAAACACACCCGACAGGAAGACCGACAGATCCCATACATGGGTTCCCAAGGCATACTATCTAGACTTAACACTACAGTTTAAATTTAAAATCTGGGAGCGCCTGGGTGGCTCAGTCGGTTAAGCAGCTGCCTTCAGCTCAGGTCCTGATCCCAGGGTCCTGGAATCGAGCCCCACATCAGGATCCCTGCTCAGTGAAGAGCCTGCTTCTCCCTCTCCCTCTGCCTGCCGCTCTGCCTACTTGTGCTCTCTCTATATCTCTGTCAAATAAATAAATAAAATCTTTAAAAATAAATAAAGAAATATAAAATCTGTCCATCTATTAGTATTTCTGTGTCATTTTGTTTAATGGAGTTAATATCCCAATACTAGTTTTACAAAATTTACAGTCTCATTTTTTTACTGTTAAGCTATTTAATTTTAGTCTAGATAGAAAAAGTAATTGAAATGTATGCTTACCATACTTGTCTCCATTTGGAAATATAAAGTTTATCTTACACACTTCAGCAGCTGTTTTAAAAGATTTAAGAAAAGTCAGATAAACTTAAATATTTTTATGTGAGAAGACCTTGTAACAAATGTGCTTTAAGAGCCAACCAAACTGGGGCACCTGGTTAGCTCAGTGGGTTAAAGCCTCTGCCTTTGACTCAGGTCATGGTCTCAGGGTCCTGGGATCGAGCCCCGCATCGAGCCCCGCATCGGGCTCTCTGCTCTGCAGGGAGCCTGCTTCCCCCCCACCCCCCACCCACCTGCCTCTCTGTCTAGTTGTGATCTCTCTCTGTCAAATAAATAAAATGGGTAAAATCTTAAAAAAAAAAAAAAAGAGCCAACCAAACTGACTCACTTCATATGATCACAAGCATATCATGATTACTTGGCATTCCCATTTTCTAGTATAGGGCCCTGGGGAAATGAATAACTTTGTCTAGATAATCTATTTTTATTTATTTGTTTATTATAATAGCTTTATAAATATATAATTCACATACCACAAAACTTACCCTTTAAAAGTATACAATTCAATGGTTTTTTAGCATATTCAGACGTATGCAACTATCACCAGAATCTAATTTTATAATGTTAGCAGTTAGTCTTCATTCCCCTGGTTTCGACTCCCATGTCTTCTTTACCCCCACCCACCTCACCCCAGCCCCAGCCCCAGCCCCAGCCCCTGGCAACCACTAATCTACTTTCCGTCTCTATGGATTTGTCTATTCTGGCCATTTCATATAAAGGAGTCACACAGTAAATAGTCCTTTATGATTGGCTTCATTTACTCAGCATAATGTTCTTAGGGGTTCATCCATGTTGTAACAAGTAGCCATGCTTTTTGCCACCAAATAATAACCCCCTGTACAGAAATAACAGTTTGTTTAACCATTCATCAATTGGTGGACAGCTGGGTTGTCTCCAGTTTGGGCTGTTATGAAAACGTTGCTATGGACATTCATGTGCCAGTTTTTGTATGGTTATATGTTTTTCTCTCTCTTGGGTAGCCTATATGACCTATTGATGCCCTCACAGAGGTAAACTGGAGTGAGGAATTGGCAAAAGGAGGGAATAGAAAATAAAGATAGTAAATGATAGGGAGACGTAGGGGTGAGGTCGTCTAAACAGAATGCGATTAGAATGGAGACCAGGTCAAAAGAAAGCATTGAGGGGAATCTATGCCTCAAAGCCCTGGGACATTTAGTGGACTACATCACTAGATATTATTTTTTCCAGTACCAAAGAAAAACATATATAGAGAGAAGATAAGTAAATTCTAACTTCTGGGACAACAGAGTCTACCAGAATATTACTCAAAGTGTGGCTCATGCCTCAGAATTACTTGGGATGCTTGCAAGTTCCTATACTACTGAATCAGAATCTCTATGGGTGGGGCAAGAGAACTGACCTTTTTACTTAAAAATTAATTTAGGTGTCAATCGAGAAAGACTGGAGGCTCATCCCTTTTGAGGAAATATAACACAATAGGTAGAAGGCTTTAAAATACTGTAACATCCTCAGAGAGAAAGGGAGAGTGTAGTATCCTTGAGACCGAAATAGGTGGTTATGAAAAAGAACCAATTAGCAATCTAGGAGATGAATAACATTAATTGGTGTAATGACTGAATAGTAGAATGGATACAGCTGAAAAGTAAATTGGTGAACTGGAATACAAAGTTGCAAATTTTTCCCAGAAAAAGGCACACACAAAAAGAGATAGCTATCACTTGAGCAAAACCTTTATCTCCCCTATGCCCCAGACTTGTCTAGGAGTCTCCACAGCGCCCAGGGCTGATCCCTACTATTGTACTAGAACCCTGTTAAAATAACGCTTTGGTGCTGGAATCTCCAATCTCAATACCCAGCTCGTCTAGGTCAAGGATCAGGGATTAGTCAAATGTTTTTTTTCTCACTCTAGCGTCCAGCATAGTACTGAGTTGTAGGTGCTTAGTACTTGTAGGTAGGAACTGAACGTCTAGTGAATGAATGACACAATCTTTAAATGCTTATTAAGCACGGCACATAAGTTGATCATACAAAAAAACCAAAATGTTTTCAAATGTTCTTAAATGGTTCCACATTTGAAACTTTGTAATGTTAGAGCGAGAGGGAATGTAAGACATGGAGACCATCTGGCACCATAGAGGAAACTGAAATCCGGAGAGGATGTCATTTGCCTAAGATGTCACAACAGCAAATCGACGGCCGAAACACAGCTAGAAGCCAGGTGTTCTGATTCCCAGGCCAGGGGTGGTGGTGGTGGTGGGGGGTTCTCCGTGTCCCCACGTCATCCCCGGTGTAGACGATCAGGAAATAAGTCACAGCCACACAGGCGCTACCAGTGGTCACGCTCTGGCTTAATGCGAGTTCTACTTAGAGGTGACCTTCCCGGCTCAGGGCATTGGGAGGGGGGGCACTCACTTGACAGAGGTGTGTCGCAAATATTTTCTTGACTCTGCGGTTCCTCCTGCGCCGCCAGTTCTGTGGCATTGAGGGCAAGGAGCGCTAACTCCGCGCCGAGCGCGACTCGGTCGCCGGGGCTACAAGGCACCTCTCACCCGGAAGCGAATATGCGAGGGGCCGACGCTGAGCCAATCGGAAAGCAGCGAGTTGTGCTGCCGCAGCTGGGCCGCCGCGGAGCCGCTCCAGGTGAGATCTCGGTGGGTGCCGAAGCCCCAGCAGGACCCCTTCGGCCCCGGGTGCTTCCTCCTGACAGCCGCTCCGGGAAGCGGCGCTGCGAACCCGCCACGGCCTCCCCCTTCCGCGGACAAGGGATGTGTGCGTGTGTGCGTGGTTCGCGCGCCGCCCTGGTTGTCAGTGTGCGGACCCTGCGGCCGCCTCCTTCTCTGGGGGTGGTCAGGGTCTGAGGAGCATCCGGCCGGGGGGCATCCAGGCAGGCTGGCTGGAGCGGGTGAGTCTGTGCTAGCAGGATCCCGGGTTGTCCGCACCCGGGCTGGAGGCGAGGGAGCTGATTTCAGCTACGAGAGGGGTTAAGGGTTGCGTTGAAGAGGCTCGGGTTTCCTTTCCTGTCTCTTGTCGGCGTCTGGAACTGAGTATATGCTGGAAGAAAGGTACCAGGTGTAGGTATCTGCGTGGAGCTGGATGTATGGGGTCAGTCAGAGGTTTGCCTGGGAAGGGAGGGTGTGTGATCAGTTTTCAGCGCCCTGTTTGGTGATTCTGTTCCTGGGGGCCTGTTCTGGGTATGAAACAAAGGATCCTCTTCGAGCCAAACGTAGGTCCCTGTGTCCACGGTGAAGAAAAATAGTTGGACTCTTCCCAGGCTAAATGGAATAGAATAGAGACATTTAATCCGCGTAGATCATACAACCTGATTCTCATTCCCTTGAAGACATCTGGGGTGAGTCGTATTGGTACAGCCAGCAGTCTTCCTTCAACATTTTGAGAGCAGATCTCGGATGAGGTTGTAAAGTTGACATTTTCTGGGTTGGTGTGAGACAAGTTGTTGCTCGTTTATTTAGGCAAGCTAGCTGGGGCGTGGTCTGGTTGGCTAGCCACTCTTTAAAAATCAAAGCACATTATCTTCTTGCTTTTTTCCTAGTGTATATTACTTACACAAACTTACCTGGACTGGGTGTTTTTTGAGCTGAATCTGATTTGTATATCCTTTACCTTTTTCTGAATTCTAGAAGTAATAGATAATTACTGATGCACAACTTTACAGAATTTCAGTTTGCCTGATTGTTTTGGTCTCCTGCTAAGCTTTTAATGACCCTAAGTTTTTGTGAGTATAAGTACCACTGTTTTTACAGAAGAATTTGAGGTAGTTGGGCTTCTTATGATATTCTTATCTAAGAGATCTGGAGTCAGGAAACTTGCAATGAAGGGATTTGAAATTTGTATTGCAGATGTGTATTAATCATTTTTTATTTTCCATATTTTATTCTGTTTTGACACATCAGGGACCTACCTGGCCAGGAAGAAGCTGCCCTTCCTAGGGATAGCTAATTCACCCTGACCTGTGAACACACCTTTCATATGCAGACCAACCCCCACCACCTACCTCCATTATCATAATTTTTGCACCCCAAGCCAATTCCTCCCTCCCCCTAAATCAACCCAGGGCCAGGTCACAGGCAACTAGGCACAGCCCCTCTGCCCCAAAGCCTGCTGGGATTATTTTAACTGGCCAGTCCTAAACTGTTTACTCTGCCCTGCCTTTCCTGCGGAAACCCTAAGAAAGGCTGTGGCTTTTGCCTTCCCCTGGCTCCTTTGTGCCTCCTGACTGACACGGGTGCTTCCTCCCGTGGACCTGGCCTGCCGTGGCACGGCGCACCTCTCTCCTTTCTGGCCAAATGGTGAATAACATTAAACTTTTCTTTTGGTGGCATTGATCTCTCCTTTATATATTAAGACCCAGGCACAAATCAAAGGAGGTCTTGTTTATCACTAAACTTTGAATTGAGGAATTAAAGATACAAGGTACATGTGTGTGGTGAGGAGGAGGAGATACGGTAGGAAGCATTTGGTTTTGGTGTCAAACAGATTGCTTCAAACCCTGGCTCCAGACTTTGCTTCTATACATTAGGTGGCATTAGACATGTCATATAATTATCTGTGCTCTAGTCTCCTCCTTTATAAAATGTAGAAAATTATTTTTACCATACTAGATTTTTAGAGGTTTAAATGAAATAATCTTACCTTTCCCCTTAATGCAGACTTGTTTGCTCAACTACCTTCAAAGGTCTCCATGTGAGTATCTAATTGGCATCTCAAATGTAACAGATCCAATGAACTTGTGACACCCTCCCCGATTTTTTCCTCCCCAGTATTCCAGTTCTGAACACATGACACCACTATTTACCCAGTTAACGTAGGCTAAAAAATCTCACAGTAATTGTAGACATTTCTTTCTCATACTTTTCATCTCATTCATCTACATTTAAAATACATTCAGAATCTGTGACCACTTTTCAACTCTACTGCTCCTATCCTAGTCCAACGCACTGTATTTTTTCTGTATTTGCTCTGCCTGAACAACTGCAGTAATTTCCTAGTTGGCATCCTGGCTTCTCCTCACTGTGCGCCCTGCCCCCCCCGCCCCCCACGCAGTCTCTTTATTCTTCACATAGCAGCTAGAGTAATTGTTGTTGTTGTTGTTTTTTTTTAAGATTTTTTGTTTATTTATTTGTCAGAGAGAGAGAGAGAGAGTGCACAAGCAGGCAGAGTGGCAGGCAGAGGCAGAGAGAGAAGCAGGCTGCCTACTGAGGAAGGAGCCCAATGCAGGACTTGATCCCAGGACCCTGGCATCATGACCTGAGTTGAAGGCAGCAGCTTAACTGACTGAGCCACCCAGGCATCCCTAGAATAATTGTTTTAAAATGTGAGTCAGTCCTAGCCATCTTTTGCCTCAGCTCATTAGAGATTTCCTATCATATTTAGAATTTTAAAAAATTTTTCCAAAAAAAATTTTTTTCCATGTCACTTTTAGTTAAACAGATTAAATTCTAGCTTTTTTAAAATCTAAAGCTATGGGGCACCTGGGTGGCTCAGTCATTAAGCCTCTGCGTTCAGCTCAGGTCATGATCGCAGGTTCTTGGGATTGAGCCCCACATCAGGCTCCCTGCTTGGTGGAAAGCCTGCTTCTTCCTCTCCCACTCCCCCTGCTTGTGTTCCCTCTCTCACTGTGTCTCTCTCTGTCAAATAAATTAAATCTAAAGCTACATAAAACCCAAAGCAATCTATTTTTCTATCTGAGATCAAAACAAGCTTCTTTTTTCTTATCTAAACATAATTCTTGGCATTGAAGTAATCTGAATTCACGTGATATACGCTGTCAAACTTTTCCAAAATACTTAAAGCCCTGCTTTGGAGAGAAATTCTCGTGTGACAATACATATTTACATATTTTTTCTCAAAAACTAATGACACATTTATGAGGTTAATAGGCTTGTAATGGGACCATGATACTACTAATGATACTAAAATGAAAAGCAATTCATTTATACAAAGCGTTCCTGTATGGTACAGTATGAAATGGAATCACAGAATCTCTGTACATACATGAATCACCAAAAGAAATAAGCTCACTTTAAGATTCATTCTTTTGTTTGGAGCGGAGATGGCCAAGTTGTGATGTATAACAAAAATATTGTGTATAAAATCTCCAAAGTCAAGTATTCGCTTAAATTGGCAATAACTGCAACTTAAGAACCAAACCCAACCAGATCTTTACTGTGGCAATGCAACATTAACTTTGTGGCCTGCCCGCTTTCCTGAGGTAACAACGTCTTCTCTCTTGCCTCTCCTCACAGTCCTCCCCCTGTCTCCAGCTTTTTCTTGGCCTTCTCTGCTCTCTGACCTCATCTGCTCTCCTCACTTCAGTACGGACCCATCAGACTTCTTTTACTGTTTGTCCAGCTCAGTGCATTGAAGATGTTCTGGACCTGGCACCTTCCCCTCGGAATATTCTTTTCACAAGTATCTCATGGCTCATTCTCAGTTTGTTCAGGTTGTCTGCTCAAACATGATCTCACAGAAGCCTTACCTGACTACTCTCTTTAAAATAACAGTCTTGGGATTTTTTTTTTTTTCCTGTACAGCATTTAACTGGCATTATCTGTTTATTTATTTGTATCTTACCCTTTGGAAGATAAGCTTCATGAAGAATTTTGTCTTCTTTGTTGTTATATCAGTTGTTGGCTCATGTATTTTGGTGCTCTGTTATTAGGTGCATATATATTTATCATTGTTATATCTTCCTGATAGATCAGTCCCTTTATCATTATGAAATGTCCTTCTTTATTTCTAGTAACATTTTTTTTTGTTTTAAAGTTTATTTTGTCTGATATTAGCACAGTCACTCCAGCTTTCTTGTGGTTGCTGTTTGCATAATTTATCTTTTACCATCTGTTTTCTTTCATTTATTTGTTTCTTTGAATTTAAAATGATAAATAAATAGCATATAGTTGGATCATTTTTTAAACTGAGGTATAATTGACATATAACATTAGTTTCAGTTATATAACATAATGATGTCATTTGTATATATTGTGAAACTATCACCACAGTAAGTCTAGTAATTAGCATCCACCACCTTACATAGTTACAAAAAAAACTTTTTTTCTTGTGATGAGGATTTTACGATTTACTCTCTTAGCAGCTTTCAAGTATGCAATAGAGTATTATTTACTGTAGTCCCCATACTGTACATTATATCTCCATAATGTATTTATTTTATAACTGGAAGTTTGTACCTGTTGACCCCTTTACCCATTTTACCCACCCTCTACCCACCACCTCTGGTGACCATCAATCTGTTCTTTTTATCTGTGGGCTTCCACATTTGAGTGAGCTCGTATGTATTTGTCTTTCTCTCTCTGACTAATTTCACTTAACAAAATGCCCTCATTGTCCATCCTTGTTGTCACAAATGACAATATTTCATTCTCTTTTACGGCTGAATAATATTCCATTGTATATACCCATATGTATATGATTTTGAGTTAATATTTTCATTTTCTTTGGATAAACACCCAGAAATAGAATTATTAAACTGTATGATAGTTCTATTTTGAAATTTTTAAAAGATTTTATTTATTTATTTGAGAAAGAGACAGTGAGAGAGAGCATGAGAGGCAAGAAGTTCAGAGTGAGAAGCAGACTCCCTGTGGAGCCGTGATCCCGATGCGGGACTTGATCCCGGGACTCCGGGATGGTGACCTGAGCCGAAGGCAGTTGCTTAACCAACTGAGCCACTCAGGCGCCCTCTACTTTATTTTTTGAAGAATCTCCATACTGTTTTCCATAGTGGCTATGCCAATTTACATTCCTACCAACAGTGCACAAGGGTTCCCTTTTCTCCATATCCTTGATAACACTTGTTATTTCTTGTCTTTTTGATAATAGCCATTCGCACAGGTGTGAGGTGATATTTCATTGTGGTTTTGGTTTGTATTTCCCTGATAATTAGTGATGTTGAGCATCTTTTCATGTACCTTTTGGCCATCTATATGTTCTCTTTGGAAAAATGTGTATTCAGATCATCTGCCAGTTATTTAATTGAATCATTTGGGGTTTTTTGCTGTTGAATTGTATGAGCTCTTTATATATTTTAGATATTAATCTCTTATCAGATACATGATTTGCAAATATTTTCTCCATTCAGTAGGTTGCCTTTTCATTTTGTTGATGTTTCCCTTTGCTTGCAGAAACTTTTTAGCTTGATGTAGTCCCACATTTTCATTTTTGCTTTTGTTGCCTTTGATTTTGGAGTCAGAGTCAAAAAATCACACCAGCACTGATATCAAAGAGTTTACTGCCTATATTTTCATCTAGGAGTTGTTTGGCTTCAAGTCTTACATTCAAGTCTTTAATCCATTTCGAGTTCATTTTTGTGTGTGGTGTAAGATAATAGTCTAATTTCATGTGGCTGTCCAGTTTTCCCAACACGATTTATTGACCTCTTTTCTCATTGTTTATTCTTGGCCCCTTTATTGTGAATTAATTGACCATATATGTGTGAGTTTGTTTCTGGGATCTCTATTCTGTTCCATTCATCTGTGTGTCTGTTTTTATGCTAATAGTATACTGTTTTATTACCACAGCTTTGTAATATAGTTTAAAATCAGGGATTATGATGCCTCCAGCTTAGTTCTTCTTTCTCAAGATTGCTTTGGCTATTCAGGGTCTTTGTGGCTCTGTGCAAATTTTAGGATTATTTGTTCGAGTTCTGCAAAAAATGCCGTTGGGATTTTGATAGAGGTTGCATTGAATCTGAAGATTACTTTGGGTAGTATGGACATTCTAATAATTATCAATTCTTCCAATCCATAACCACAGACTATCCTTCCATTTATTTGTATCTTCTTTGATTTCTTTCATCAATGTCTTCTAGTTTCCAGTGCACAGATCTTTCACCTCCTTGGTTAAATTTATTCCTAGGTACTTTCTTATTTTTAATGTAGCTTATTACTTCTTGAGTTAAAACTATTTTCTTATAGGAATATGCAAGTCTAAGAGAATATCTTAAAGCTAGCTTTGGGACGCCTGGGTGCCTCAGTGAGTTAAACGTCGCCTTCTGCTTAGGTCATGATCTCAGGGTCCTGGGACTGAGTCCCATATCAGGCTTTTTGTTCAGTGGAGAGCCTACTTCTCCCTCTGCCCCTCCCCCTGCTTGTGCTCCCTCTCTCTGACAAATAAGTAAAATCTTTAAAAAAATAAAATGAAATGAAATAAATATCTAGCTTTGGCTATATTTTATAATTTTAATGTATCATTTTCATTTTTGCTTTCTTTTTGGTCTATATCTGTTTTGCTATATATATTTAGGTGTTCTGATGTTGGGTACATAAATATTTACAATTGTTGGAACCTCTTGATTTAATCCCCTTATCATTATGTAATGACCATCTTTGTCCCTTGTTAGTTTTTGCCTTAAAGTGCATTTTGCCCAATAAAAGTATAGTTGTCCCTGCTTTCTTTTGGTTTCCATCTGCATGGAATATCTTTTTCCATTCCTTCACTTTCAGTTGGTGTCCCTAAAGCCAAAGCACTTGTGTTGTAGGCAGCATATGGTTGGGTCTTATTTTTTCATCTCTTCGGCCATTTTGTGTCTTTTGCTTGGAGAAATTAACCTCTTGGGGCACCTGGGTGGCTCAGTGGGTTAAGCCGCTGCCTTCGGCTCAGGTCATGATCTTAGGGTCCTGGGATCGAGTCCCACATCGGGCTCTCTGCTCAGTGGGGAGCCTGCTTCCCTTCCTCTCTCTCTGCCTGCCTCTCTGCCTACTTGTGATCTCTCTCTCTCAAATAAATAAATAAAATCTTTAAAAAAAAAAAAGAAATTAACCTCTTTACATGTAAGGTAATTACTAATAGGTGAGGGCTTAATACTGACATTTTGTTTCTTAGGTGTTTTATAAATCCTTTGCTCCTTTCTTCCTCTCCTACTGTCTTTGTGAGTTGATGGTTTTCTCTAGTGGTATGCTTTGATTTCTTTCTCTTTTTTTTATACATACTGTAGATTTTTGCTTTGTAGTTTCCATGAGGCTTACATAAAGCATCTTATAGTTATAATATTCTATTTTAAGCTGGTTAACAACTTAACTTCATTTGCATGCAAAAGCTCTATACTTTCATTCTACCCAGGCAAAATCTCTGAACAAGGTCTGTGTCTCTGAAAGTGTATATGTAAGTTAAAATTTTGTTTATCAAATCACGTATTAACTACACGAAGAACATCTCTTTTCAACTAGAGTTTGTTAAACTGTATACCAAATCTAACCAAATCGGGATCTAGGACTGGGGCTTAATATTAAGCATGTGTGTTTTGAAACTTCTCCAGGTATTTCTGATACATATTCCTGGTTAAGAAATCTGTGTTGGAGAAACTCAATAAATATTAATCCTCAGAGGGATGTGCTTGTAAAGCTTTTGTTAAAACAATTTATCTATGCTTCCCCTAGACTGACCCTTTTCAAAAACATGCATTTCCTTATTTCTTTGTAATGGGCTCTGTCCATAACTGTGACAAAGGATTGTCGTACTTGTCTAGTTTTATGATGTGTGTATTAATTTCTCTCTTGCAGGCGAAAATGAGTTCTTCAGTAAGAAGAAAAGGCAAGCCAGGCAAAGGAGGTGGAAAAGGGTCGTCTAGAGGAGCCAGAGGAGGCAGGAGTCACACCAATAAATCGCATGGGGGCGGCGGTGGCAGTGGTGGTGGCAGCACTGGCAATCGGAAGGCCTCGAGTAGAATTTGGGATGATGGCGATGACTTTTGTATCTTCAGTGAATCAAGACGCTCATCCAGGTCATTATGCTTTTTTAATATTTAAGGTATAGAAATAGTATAAGTTCAGGGCACCTGGGTGGCTCAGTGGGTTAGAGCCTCTGCCTTCAGCTCAGGTCATGATCCCAGGGTCCTGGGTTCGAGCCCCGCATCAGGCTCTCTACTCAGTGGGGAGCCTGCTTACTCCTCTCTCTCTCTCTGCCTGCCTCTCTGCCTACTTGTGATCTGTCTGTCAAATAAATAAATAAAAATCTTAAAAAATTAAAAAAACAAACAAAAAAAAGAAATAGTATCAGTTCGTGACCTGTGGGACAGCAGAGAGCTAAGAGGAAGGGGGGAAAATGCCAAGTAATTCTGGTCAAGTGAATTGTAGCTCTTGTTTTAAAACCTTGCAGTCTCCTACTCTGTAACCTTTTCTAGAGGCTTCCAAAAAAAGCCACCTAATGGCTTTTTTTGGAAGGTCAAAATCTGAGGTTAACTTCAACTTTCAGGCCACTGTGAATCAAATATAATGCTGTTGCTGTAACTCTTGTTACCAGAAAAGTAAGTATTGGAAATGGCAAAAGTGGTGAAAATTATTTTGATTATTTCTTACACATTGTAGTTTGAAAGTCCCCAAATGCTACTTGTTGGTCCTCTCTGTCTTTTTAGTTGATGAATTATCTCTTTTCCAGACATATCAGCCAAAGCTTCACTGGTGCTTTGTGTGATGACCCGTGAGAGAGTCATATCCAGGCTTCTTTCGTCTTCACCTTTCAAATATGAATAGATTCTGATAATTCTAATGAATATTTAGTAAAAGTATAGATTTTATTGCTGCAGGTTATATAGCATAGATAGAGAATTCTCACTGTCTGCAAGCTGTCCACGGAATTTTTGGAGATGGAAAGGTTTCTTTAAAGCTACACGCACACACTCTCTCTCTCTCTCTCGTGGAAATAACTCCCAACTAAATATTAATTAGAAAGGAATATATGTGTGTGCTAGAGCTTAACTGCATCAAACATGCTTTTAACTTAAATGAATACAAGTATTTGCACTCAGAAAAAGAAAAAAGAAAAACAGATAGCATTTAAATAGTTTAAACTTGCCACTGAATGAATCTGAGCCCCACAGTGAGCAAGACATGGAAGAAGTACAGTTCCCTCCATCAGTCTCAGTTTCCAGGTGCTTTTTGTAGTTGAAGCCACTTGATGCACTGAGTATGTGATTTTAGGGCTTAAATACATATTTTTATACATACTCCCTAATATAACCAAGAACTTCATCTAATATTCAACCAGCGAGTCTACAAATGTTTTTTTGTTCTAAAAGAAAAATGATCATTTTGGACATACTGAGAGCTAATATATCATTCTCAAACTTGACCCTTTTTAAAAAGGAATCTAGGAAATTTCTAGGGGAATTTTAAGGTATATTTTCACTTTACCTGCTGACTTAAGAGCCTAACTTCTGAGTTAGATGCAGCTCCCTTCTTTTTGAAAACATAAACATTGTAACTGGGGGTTCTTATAGCCTTAGGCATCCATTCATGCTGCAAGTATGTACTGAGCGCCCACTATGCACCCCACACTGTGTTAGGGACTAGAATTAGAGCAATGAATAAGAGAGTGTTCTTGTCTTCATAGAAGCAAGTTTGAGGTATAAAGACCATAAATGATATATAATATGCCAGGCAGAAAGTGCCCTGGAGAAAAATGAAGATAAAAGAGGTAGAAAATGCCAAAATAAACTGCTGTTATTTTTTAAATGGTTGCTGTTTTATGTAGAGTGATCAGGGAAGGCTTCTCTAATAACATGTCCTTTAAGCAGGGACGAGAAGGAGAACATTCAAGGCAGCAGGAACACCACGTACAAAGCCCCTCAGCCAGGAGTGTACTTGGAAGGTTTAAGAAGTGGCAGGGAAGCATGTGGCCAGAGTGGATGGGTAAGAAGGAGAGTAACAGGCAGTTAGATCCAAGAGGCTAACGCTGTGTAGGACCTTAGTGTCCTATGTAAGGATTTTGGCTTTTGCTTTGAGAAAGATAGGAGGCCATTGCCAGCCTTGAGGCAAAGGTGTGTGACATCAGTCCCTCCTGCCAGAGTTGCTACTATTCATTGTATGCCTTTATGTGTATTAGAAAATGGTGCCCCTTTCTTTGGGCAGTTATAGCCCCAGAAGCATGGCTTGTAAGCTAACATGGACTGGATTTGAACACTTGCTGTCCCATCCTCCCTCATCTTCCTCCTATCCCCACCAGGAGCCTTTGCACAGTGTTCAATCTGCACAACTATACTCAGTAGCCCTGACTCAGTATTCTGTGTGTACTGTCTATAGGCAATTTACATCTAAATCTTGAGTTCAGGGAAAAAATCTGAGCTAGAGAAGTTAATGTATGAGTCCTCTAAATGACTGCAATTTACAACTGTGAGATCGGATGAGTCGGACTATATAGATAGAGAAGAGGTCTGAACTTTGAGGCCTGGGCTACTCTAAGCTTTATAGCTGAGAGAGATAAGGAGCATCTGTCCAAGGGGATAGGGGAGTTGCCAGAGGAGTAGGAGGAAAACTAGGAGAGTTTGGTTTCTGGAATCAGGAAATAAAGCTGCTCTGAAGGGGATTATCCAGTTGGATAGGATGGGATCCATAAAGGGGATACTTGTCGTGAAGGAGTGCTTGTGAGAGCTCAAGAGAGATGTGCGCTCACAGCTGTCCTCTGGATTTGGCGGTGCGGGTAGCATAGGTGATCTTTATTTCTTTAGTTGCACAGCCATTGCCTTACATAATTATGGTTTCTTTGTTTATTTTTGGTGTGAATTTTTTCTTTATTCAAGTCTAATGAATATACAGTCTTTTAGTAGTTTCAGTCACACAGAATAATTGTTCGGCAATTCTGTATGTTACTTAGTGCTCAGGAAGATCAGCGCCCTCTGCATCTCCATCACCTGTTCACCCATCCCCGGGCTCCCTCCTCCCCGCTGGCGGCCACCAGTTGGTTCCATGTATTTAAGAGTCTGCTTTTCTGCTTGTCTCTTTTTGTTTTCCTTTGTTCATTTGTTTTTGTTTCTTAAATTTTACATACAAGCAAACTTCTAAGAACTGCCTCACCAAATTCAAATATATAAAACATCATATTTAACTATGGTCACTGTGTTGTACACTACATCTCCAGAACATACTCGTCTTATTACTAAGTTTGTCCCCTTCTATTTCCTTTACCCATTTGCTGCAGCTCTCCCTCTGCCCCATAGGAATGATCACTTCCCCTAAGCAGGCCTAGAAGATGCAACACTTTCTTCATTCCCACAAAGGTGCTGTGTAATCTAGTTATGACCCTAAGACTGCTGGAGAACACATGTGAAGGCCGCCAGGAGTTTCTTGAACCAATGGAATGGGCTGGACATTTTTGTATCGTGTTTATTCATTTGAATTCAGGATTATTGGAGACTCCTGTTTTATTGAGGGACTGCAGTTATGCAGGCCACCAGAGTAAGATTAACTAAGAAAATTATCTTATACGTGGAAAGGTTTATAATCCAGATGTCCCTCACCTGCCATTTCCTAAGAATCAGGTAATTTTAGTTTTTCATTGGTATCTCCCTTTTCTGTGAATCCCAAGCCAGATCTTACACTGTTTCTGTAGGTGGCATGACAGTTATATGCCTAGCAGAAGATGAGCTGACAGGATCTCTTCTCTATGGTGCCATTTTGGTCTTATCTCACAGCTTTACTCCAAGGCCTCAGCTGGTGAATTGTCTGCACCTTCGCCTCAGTAACAGTAGTGTTCAAGACTCTTGATGGGTAGTAGGATGAGGCACGATTTTCTTAGTTTAGTGTTTGATTTTTCTCTTTGTAATTTTGGTTTTAGGCCTCACTGAATTACATATCTAGAGCATAGGTCTTGACAAGAGCTGTTTGATATAGTCGGTGAGCAGAAGCCCTGATTGTAGTGTGTGTCAGAGAGAAAAGGAAGGAAAATGGAGACAAAGACAATGATTTAGATAACCCTTCTGAGGAGTTTTACAATAAAGGGCAGAGGAGGGAGAAGAGATAAGACAATAGCTTGAGGGGGAGAATTTGGTTTGGTTTTTTTAAGATGGTAGAATTACACAGGATGTGTGTGTGCTGATGGGACTGCTCCAAGGGGAATGAAGAACTGACGATGTAGAGGAAAATACAAGTGCTGGGATTCTTTCCTTGAGGAGACTGAAGAGATTGGGGTACAGTGTACAAACAGAGGGATTGACTTTAGGATCACATTTGGCATGGAGCCTACGTTAAAAGAAAGAAAAGAACGTTAGAAGAAATGATAGACTTGGGGCAACATTTCTTTTCAGAAACTATGACTAAGTGACTAAAACCATAATCGATTATATTTTCTCCTTTGTTATCCAGTGTTGCAAGTTTATATGTGTGTTTTTTTTCAGTCTTAATATTGTGAATTGAGATTTTAAACATAAAAAGTTTCTTCCATTTCCTAGATTTGTGAAAATGTATAATGAAACATGCCAAATGAAAAAAAGAAATTTAGTGAATAATGTTAAACTTTAGAATTTATTATTGTTTTAAATATTAAAAAGAGTCCCCCCAAAAAATCTAAAATCTAACAATGAAAGATGAGTGAAGTAAATTCTATTGCATCTATATCTATACGTACCCATTTAAAACTACATTGTAGGAGGGCACCTGGGTGGCTCAGTGGGTTAAGCCTCTGCCTTTGGCTCAGGTCATGCATGATCTCAGGGTCCTGGGATTGAGTCCCACATCAGGCTTGTGCTCAGCAGGGAGCCTGCTCCCCCTGACCTGCCCGCCTGACTCTCTGCCTACGTGTGATCTCTCTCTCTCTGTCAAAAAAAGAAAACAACAAAAAACCACCACCACAACCAACAACAATGACAAAAAATACATTGTAAGAGAATATTTAATCTTAGAGAAATACCAGTTTTATTTTGATAAGCAAATAAAGCAAATATAAAAGATTATATTATACTGTATAGTTTTATTTATAAATGTGAAAATAATTGATGTGAATTAGAATGACTTCTGTTTTCTACTTTTCTCCAGTGAACATGTATTTATTATTATTTTTTTTAATGAGGAAGTAATGATAATTTAGGTAATATTTCCGAAGCAGGGCCTAATATTCACAAGTAAGATGAGACCTTTCATTGTTTTCAGATTGGGTACCCAAAATAGAATGAAATAATATTTGTGTGTAACACATTTTTTTTTTGAAAGTCCTCTATTCCAGCAGGAGTCATCCTACTATTAGTTTTTCCAGAGGATTCTTGAGTTAGTGAAGCCAGATTTAATGATTAAGTATCTAATCAGATTTTTTTTTCCAGCAGCAGCAAGATAATGAAGTCTGGTAAGTACTGTGGAAAACAAGGAATTCTTCACATTCATTGTTACCATTTGTAAGGTAGTTGACAGTCCCTCTGGTGCTGTATATATTTGGGGCCTGTTGGGTGAGTGTCAAAGTTCTGGTCCCAAGTCAATGTGTCCTTTGCAGACCTAGCAACAGTAGTGTAAGAAAAGGAGAGGCACGCCCCAGATGGAAGCCCGAAGCCAAAGTGCCCCTTCAGACCCTGCACATGACTTCTGAGAACCAGGAGAAAGTGAAAGCTCTTCTCCGGGACCTGCAGGAGCAAGACGCAGACGCTGGATCTGAGTAAATCATTTTATTTGAGTAAATTCCTATGTGAAGGAAGCTGTGTTGGCAGTGGGCAGGTCCCACATGTCTTTGGGATGACTTTTCAATACTGATCCTATGGTGACAATGTAATTAGTTGGAAGTGAGCTGAGAGAAATAACAAGAATAACTATTCAGCAACAGTTTCAGAGTGAGTTCGTATTGCAGTATCTGTGAGCAGTACAAATTGCCTTTTCATCTTTTTTTCCAAGGACAATGCTGAAACAGACTCAGTAATTGCTTTATTGACAGGCTTCTGAATAGAACCTTGGAGTGAACAAGCAGCGGTGTTGTTGTAGGAGCAGATACCGAGTTGATGAGATGAAGACTTAGGGGTACACTTTCTCACAACCGTCTGCCGAAGAGAAACAACTTGGACTCTGACTGTTTTGATTTGTGATTTCAGTCAAAGAAGCCAGTTTGTCGCCTTCGCCACAATTAATGGGTGGTCAGTGGTGAACGGCTCCATCTCCAGCTTATCTACAAATCTCTTTATCTGCTTTAGATTTAGGAAAGGTAGTTATGCAGCCAAGCAAAAAATGAGGGATGGTTTTTATGAACGAGGAGAGAGAATAGCCAGGGCTTCCATGGTTAAGAATATAGGCTCTGGGGCCAGACTGCCTTGGTTAAAAATCTCTGGTTGCTCTTTACTGTATAACCTTTGGCGATTACTAATCCTCTCTAAGTTTTAGTTGATCATCTGAAAAATGGAGATTCCAATAGTATCAGATTAGTGGGAAGACTTTTAAAGAGACAGACCATATAAAACCCTTAACATAGTACCTGGCATGTCATAAATGCCTGGTGAATATTAATTGCCAGGACATAAATGAATAGATCAATAAAAGTTTAAATCAGGGGGCGCCTGGGTGGCTCAGTGGGTTAAAGCCTCTGCCTTCGGCTCAGGTCATGATCCCAGGGTCCTGGGATCGAGCCCCGCATCAGGCTCCCTGCTCAGCAGGGAGCCTGCTTCCCTTCCTCTCTCAGCCTGCCTCTCTGTCTACTTGTGATCTCTGTCTGTCAAATAAATAAATAAAATCTTAAAAAAAAAAAAAGTTTAAATCAGTGACTAAAGAAGAGTTAGGATCCTAAAAAAAAAAAAAAAAAGAAAAGAATAGTTAGGATCCTAGGTCCTTTGGCTCCTTGAACTAAATTCTTAGACTCTTGCTTATTCTTTGAAGTACATGGAAATTAGTATCTAATGTAAAAAATATTACCTTTGGCAGAAGAGGCATTTCTGGGGAGGAGGAAGATGATGAACCCGAGTGTGATGATGAACAGTACTGGTCTGCTGGACGAGAAGCTTCCCTTGTTCCTGACTGTGACCCTTTGGAATATGCTGGCTCAGGCCCAATGGAGCCTCATAGTCCAGAGTTTACCGTCTCGACATTTGCAGTGCAGAAGCTTTCCAGGTGATTGCTTTCAACATTGATGGGAGTTAGGGGAGAACTGAAGAGACTGAAACCATACTATAAACCCAACTACCCCTCTGGAGTACTTTCCTAGTGTGTGGGTTGTGGCGGTGCCTGATACATGTCTAATATCTTCTCTTTCAGAACAAGGTGATTAGGGAGTATTACCAGAGATATTTTTTCTAAAATACAGATCCTACCTATATATGGTTATAACTTCACACAAATTTGTATAAATGAATTTCACTTCTGTGACTTGCTACTACTTAATATTTTTGTCACGTTTCACACTTGTAGGTACGGCTTCGACACCGAGCGCTGTCAGGCAGCCCTGAGGCTCTGTGATGGAGACATCGGGGCATCACTAGAACATCTGCTCACACAGTGTTTTTCAGAGACATTTGGGGAGAAGATGAAGAGCTCGGAGGCAGTTGCCCATGTCAGCTTGGATGAGTGTGTGGAACAGCGGCAGGAAGAGGCATTTGCTCTCAAGTCCATCTGTGGAGAGAAATTTATAGAAAGAATTCAGAACCGAGTCTGGACCATTGGATTAGAACTGGAGTACTTGACGAGTAAATTCTGCAAATCCAAGCAAAAGGAAAGTACCAAAAATACACAGGACGCTACACTTGAAGTCTGTAAATTTTACCTCAAAGGAAATTGTAAATTTGGATCAAGATGCAAATTCAAACATGAAGTGCCCCCACATCAGATTGTCGGAAGAGCGGAGAGAATTGTAGATGATTCTCATCTTAATGCCCACGAAGATGCCTCTTTTTTATATGAACTTGAAATTCGATTTTCTAAAGACCACAAATACCCTTACCAAGCTCCTCTTGTGGCATTTTATTCCACCAACGAGAATCTACCTCTGGCTTGTCGTTTACACATTTCTGAATTCCTTTATGGCAAGGCCTTGACATTTGCAGAAACTTCAGAACCTGTTGTGTATTCTCTGATAACCGTTTTAGAGGAAGAATCAGAAATAGTCAATTTACTGACAAATACCCATCACAAGTACAGTGTCCCTCCTGTAAACTTTCTGCCAGTATCCTCTGGGACCAGAATAAATAATCCTGTCTGTTGTAAACCAGTGATTCCAAGTAATTCTTTTGCTTCAAATCAAATTCCTGAAGGTATGTAAGGCCTTGATTGCGTGGAGGGCCTTGTGGAGGGGGAGTTCAGAATGGTGGATTGAGGAAGTCAGCGTTTCTGAGGGCTGTGCTTGGATCTCCTGGTGATCTTAAGGCAAGTCATTCTCCTCAGTCCATGGGCAAAAGGGAATGAGAATCCCCTGAACTGTGGCCTGACTTTAATTGTAAGTGCCATGATGGGGCTCTCTGCATTGAAGGTTTGTAGCGTTGTGTAAGTTTATTCAAGCAATTGGGAGCTGGAAGAACTAGAGCATCTTCCTAGAGAAACTGTTCCGTTTAATTCATTTGGATTCACATGTTTACTTCTGATGCTTTACATGGAATGACTTTCAAATGAGTTTTTAGAGATATTTCTCTTTCTATAGTACCCTATTCCCCCAAAGTTCATTAGCATAGGGCTACCTTTATGAATCCCTAAATCCTCAAAGAAATGTTTGTGCAATCTTCTGGCTTTATTGAAATCCAGATTTGCTGTACCGATTCTTATACCACAATTAAACTCCATGTTCGAAGTTCAGCAAAGAATTCTCTCTTACTTGTTGCCATCTTTCTTGAGAGAAACAAATTTTTATTACTTCACAAGAGTTCTTAAGTAAACATCAATAAGTAGAGAACAATGAAATTGCATTGAGATGGGGATGGTGGACAGATGGCTGGGTTCACTCACTAGCCACTTGCTCCCAAATGGCAGCTTTTAGCATGTGGGATTCAGATATATTCCTTGAGATATGTCAAATGGTGTGGCATGGACTTTTTTAAGTAATAGCTTTATTGAGATAAAATTTACATACCATAAAATTCACCCTTAATTTCAAAGTGTACAATTCAGTGGGTTTTTAGTATACTCAAAGAGTTGTACAACTGTGACCACCGTCTAATTCCAGAACATTTTTAACCCTAAAAGAAACCCCATACTTAGCTTATTAGTGATGAGTCCTTATTTCTTCCTTCCTTCAACCCTTGAAAACCATGAATCTACATTCAGTCTCTATGCATTTGCCTATTCTGTACGCTTCATAGAAATGGAATCGTACACTACGTGGCTTTTTGATTGGCTTCTTTCACTTAGCATCATGTTTTCAAGGTTCATTCATATTGTAGGGTGTATCAGTACTTCATTTTATTGCTGAATGATACTCCATTATATGAACATGCCATATTTTGTTTACTGATTTATCATGTGATAGGTATCTGGATTGTTTTATATCGTGAGATTATAGGAACACTTGCAAATAGTTGAAACTTTCAGTTAATTCCTTGAATGTGAAGAATCTATGGAATTAACAAGGTGTGCCATGATGTTTTTCTTCTTTGTTTTTAATTTGGTTTAGCAACAGCCACTTGTATTTGATTAAATTCATCTGAAGATGCATTTTAAGTTCTTTGGCAATAGTAGTTGTTTGAAATGAATGAACCTGCTTTACTCAAGCTTTTAAGTTTTTTCTCCATCTTAAACGATTTTGTTGTTACTTTATTAGATAGTGACTTTCCTCCTTTGCTAAAGAAAGGGCTCCATATCGAAAATGTTTCCTTTTATCCCCTTCAAGTTGAAAAAGAATCAGAACCTGAGGAGGAGACAGATGAGGATGAAGGTCCTGCACCAGTTAGAGTGGAGAATGAAAGCTATGTGAACCTTAAGAAAAAGATTTCCAAAAGATATGACTGGCAGGCAAAATCAGTACATGCTGAAAATGCTAAAATCTGCAAGCAGTTCCGAATAAAACAGGTAGGGTATTCTGAGAGACTGGCCAGCATTGCTTCCTAATGTATGGGTGAATGGATTAGGAATTAGGAAGTCCCTAGTATATTTTTGTTTCTCTTTAACTCTGAGTGGTCAAAGTTTCTGCATGCCACAGCAGACTTGGGTGCATGTTCTAGATAGTTTTGGAAAATCCAAAGGCTGGTGAAATGAAACACGCACACATATACCAAATATTCTCAAAATCATGTGACTTTGGTACTCTGATAGATGATCTGATAAGTGAAATCAAAATTAAAGCTGATTTACATTAGAAAAAGATAGTGTAGAAAGGAGAAGGCTAAGGAGGGGCCATTACCCCATTTCAGAGAATCGCAGGGTAAGTAACTTACCCAAGATCACATAGTTACTAGTGGCAACAGGGATTCAGGCTAACTTTCTGTTCCTCAAGTCCATGATGTTTTATCCCATTCACAAGAAGATTATTTTAAAAGAACCAATGAGTGAACTTTTAGGGCAGAGTTGGGTGTAGGACAAAAGATTGCTTAACCACTTTGGGGATTGGATTAGATGTGTCTAACAGCTCTTTTAATTGTGAAGTTCTGATTCTGATTCTCGACACAGTATAACACTATAGCATATTGTAGTGCAACAGCTGTAGAATGTCAAAGTGAATAGAAATTCACACCATAAGTAAATAGTAAGACTGTAGAAACAAAAAATTCCACTTTGAATTTGATCAGTTTGTGTTCAGAGGTAATAAATTTATATGATAAAATTATATGCAGAAAATGATGTGTTAATATAAATTTCAAAAATACATCTTTAGTTTTAACATACACTGCAATGTTTACTGACCATTGGAAGTCAGACTGAGTTACATAGATGTGATGCCTGCCAAAAAGAACCCTTTCGTGAGTGCTCTTACAGTTACTGACTTTAGTAAAAATCTGATATTGTATAGAACTATGCTGTCCAATGGGGTAGCCCCTAGCCACTTTAATTTAAATTAATTAAACTTAAATAAAGTTAAAATTCAGTTCCTCAGTAACACTGGCCACATTTCAAGTGCTCACTAGCCATGTGTAGCCAGAGGTTTTTATATTGGTCGGTGCTAATACAGATCATCTCCATGAACATGGAAAGTTCTATCAGACAGTGCTGGTGTAGAGACTTCTGCTAGGAAGAGCATGATAGTGCTAAGCAAGATGGCTTATTTCTCTTATAAGATCTTGCAGTTTATTCAGATGTAGGAAAGCCATAAAGATTCCACAGCTGATTCTTTGAGCAGCCTTCTGACTGAAGTCATCAGCATCCAGTCCTAACAAATCCGCAATTTCCATCCCTGACCAAATTGTTAAAGAAAGAGCAGAAAGGCTGGGTCAAGCTATGGGATTCAATACTCAGAGCTTTGTGAAAGATGATTCAAAGTACCTAACTGACGCTTTATCTTCTATGTTATTAGGCTTCCAGACAGTTCCAGTCAATTCTGCAAGAAAGACAATCACTCCCTGCTTGGGAAGAAAGAGAAACCATTCTTAAATTGTTGAGCGAGCACCAAGTGCTTGTTATAAGTGGTATGACGGGGTAAGAATGCAATTTATTTGTAATGCGGCTTTCATCCATGAATATGGTATGTACCCTGGTTATGGTAATAACCAGTTTTACTTGTAAAAAACTGGTAACTCTTATTATTTGTGCTTTTTTCTGATCAGATATGAAATAATATTTCACAAAACCTAATATTACAGATCTGGAGCCAACAGACCCAAATTACAGAAAAACAAAACAAACTCAGAAATCTGTCCAGGAATTTATACACATTGTACACCTCTCCTTGAGACAATTTTAAGGCAAAAGGTTTAACTGAACGTTTTTTTTTTTAAGTTTTTTTTTTTAATATTTATTTATTTGAGAGAGAGAGCACATGAGCACACAGTGGGGAGGAACAGAGGAAGAGGGAGAATTTTAAGCACTCTGCGCTGAGCACAGAGCCCAACATGGGGCTTAATCTCATAATCCTGAGATAAGGACCTGAGCTGAAACCAAGAGTCAGACACTTAACTGACTGCACCTCTGAATGCACCATTACTGAATGCTTTTAACAGGCCCATTTTTTAATGTAAAGGATAGTTCTGGAACATTTATACACACACACACATATATACATACATAACATTTATTTATATTAAAATATTGGGACACCTGGGTGGCTCAGTCAGTTAAGCGTCTGCCTTTGGCTCAGGTCATGATGCAGAGTCGTGGGATCAAGTCCCACATGGGGCTTCTTGCTCAGCAGGGAGCCTATTTCACCCTCAGCCTGCTGTTCCCCCTGCTTATGCTCTCTCACTCTTTCTCTCTCTCTCTCTCTGACAAATAAATAAGTAAAATCTTAAAAAAAAAAAAAAAAAGATTTAAATTTGAAAGAGAGCGAGCTGGGGGAGGGGCAGAGGTAGAGTGAGAGAGAATTTTCAAACTAACTCCTCCCCAGTGAGTGTGGAGCCCAATGGGGGGCCCTCAATCCCAGGACCCTGCAATCATGACCTGAGCTGAAATCAAGAGCCAGCTGCTTAATTAACCAGCTGAGCCATTCAGGCACCCCTCCAGAACATTTAACTTGGAAATTTTCCTCTTCTAAATTTATTCTGCTTTCCTTAGAGCTTTTACTTGATCTTATAAGAACAACTTAGGACATACTATTTTTCCTGTTTTACACTTTTCATATGTTATCCAAACTTATTTAACAGAGACAGGTTGTAGGCTTAGTTTAGTTCTATATTCAGAGGTATTCAACCTAATAATTACATTTGTGCCCAGACTCACTGATACAGTAGTGATTTGAGATCTTCTAGTTTATCTTTTTAGCTTCAGTCCCCTTGTAGCCAAATCAATAAGATAATACATAAAATAAGAGAATACTCCCATTCTTTAGGATTCAAATATAGAGTTCATATTCTTAGAGGTGATTGCAGAACTTAATCTAATGTCTGCTCAATTGTCCCAATTTTATAAATGATACTAAGCTATTATGAGTGTCCTGTGAATCCAAGTGCAAATTCCTAGCAGTTATGAGCTGTAGGTAACAAGTCAGCAGGTCGGTTTAAAAGATAAATGAAGCTGAACAAGTTTTATTATGATTAGCTTTCTCACTTCCCTGTTGCACATGGCTCTTTTTTTCTATTAACTAGCACTTGAAAACCCTCATTTTAGGACTCATTTGTTTTGACATACAGATGTGGGAAAACTACACAGATCCCTCAGTTTATTCTGGATAATTCTCTGAATGGACCGCCTGAGAAAGTGGCTAACATCATCTGTACCCAACCCCGACGAATTTCAGCAATATCTGTTGCTGAACGTGTTGCTAAAGAAAGGACAGAAAGAGTGGGTCTGACTGTGGGGTACCAGATCCGGCTAGAAAGTGTCAAGGTTTGTATACTCCGCCTATTTCCTGATAACAGAAATTTCGTTTTCATGTATAAAGCGTTCTTGGAGTCTGGAGACTCATAGGCAAGCTGGGATATATACTTTAATATGGCTGAAAACCTTTTAGAAATATTTTGGTATAACTTACTTGGGTATGCTTCATTTCCTCTATAAAGACCTTTTATTCTTCATTGACAGAAATGATCTAGTAGGTGCTGTTTTACTCTTAAACCTGGGACTTAATCCATTTAACCAAATAAGGAATGGACAAATGGAGAATTGAGTTGATCACTCATTATTGTTTCTATGTTTTGTAATAATTTTTGAATGCTTTTTATGAGCCTTAAAATTTTGATATAAAATACAAAAGCTTTTACTATTGTTGCCAGCAAGAAGCTGTGCATTTAGTGTGGTATCACATTAAATGCAGCTGCCGATGTTTTCAAGATTCTCTGTCCCTATCTATTCGGAATGGCTTTGCTATATTGGCTTTGAAAGTGTTTCATTTTTGCAAAAATTCCACGAATGCTTTCTATGCCCTTTCCTGTGTAAGTCCTCAGCCACCAGGCTGTTATACTGCACCACGGGCGTCCTGCTGAGAAGGCTGGAAGGAGACACAGCTCTCCAAGGAGTTACCCATATCATCGTTGATGAAGTTCATGAGAGGACAGAAGAAAGGTAAACCAAAGATTTTCTAAACAACTAGCCATACACGTGAAATCATTTTGTTCTGTTTCCAGTTGGGTTTCATAGAGCTAGAGAGGAAGACCACAGAGAGGCCCAAGTTAGAGAAGAGGCACTGCTTTCCTTACCTCCAGGGTCTGGAATACGAGAAATGCTAGGAGGGCACATGTTCATCACTAGAAGAGTCATTCTGTTAGATGGACATCTTCTACCAGGAGATACTTAACACCCTCCTGGGCCTCATGCTGATCTGGGCACTGTATTTAGCAGGAATAACAGGTTAATGCACACGGTAGCTGATAGATGGGTCAGTATGTGCTTCCTTCTTTGTTCATTTGGTCAGTCATTTAGTCCTAACAGTCATGCATACATTTATTAAGATGGTCTTAAGTGCCAAGGGATCTGGTAATTGCTGGGGATACTATAGCAAACAAACCTGTGTCATTCTCCTTTATCTCATGGTCTGGTAGGAAAAACAAATAATGAACAAATAAATGAAGATTTAGGAATTGGAGTAAGTACTCAGAAGGAATAAATAGGATGGTATATTTTGGGGAGAGAGATCCATGAGATGGCCAGAGCTGATGTCTCTCAAGAGATGATGATTAAATAAAAAACAGAAGGATGAGAAGGCATCCCATGTGACAGATGGGAGCAAAGCCAGCATTCGCAGACTTTGCAGTGGGAAAGGACATCATGAGCCCAGAGACTGGAGGAAGGCCCTTGCATCTGGTTGTAGTAAATGAGGGGGAAGGTAGCAGATAGAAAAGGGAAGAGCCAGATCTTCCAGGGCCTTGTATACCCTGGGCAATAAAGCATTTAGAATTTATTTTAATGGAATTAGAAGTCTTTAAAGAGTTGGGATATAAAATCAAAATCTTCAATATTTTAAAAGGAAGGGCCAAGTAAATAGATGGCATTTATCATAGTTTGTCACAGTTTGTGGATCATGTTCTAGAACAACAACAACAAAACAACAAAAACTAGTGGGGAAAAAAAGACAACTCTGTAATAATTACGAGACTTTCCCAAAAAGGACTATACTGTTATAAATATTTTGAGAAGAAACAAAGTCTAAGTAAAGTTGGCAGATTGACAGAAAGCAGAAAATAGCTAATAGCAAAAATTTAATAAAACTGAACAGGGAAGACATATGAATAGAAAACTATTTGTACAAAGAAATAAATACCATGATACACTAGTAAATAGGAAATATGAGGTAATTAGAAACTAAAGGAAAGCAGACTTGCATATAAAAAGAGTAGATCAAAATAAAAAGAAGTAATTCCTAGAACACAACAATAGTAAATTTTATTTTATTTTTTTAAAAGATTTTCTTTATTTATTTGACAGAGAGAGAGAGAGAGCACAAGCAGGGGGAGTGGGAGAGAGAGATGCAGGCTCCCCGAAAGCAGGGAGCCTGATGCTAGGCTCGATCCCAGGACCATGAGATCATGACCTGAGCCGAAGCAGAGAAACAGAGGTTTAACCAGCTGAACCACCCAGGTGCCCCATAAATATTAAACGACTATACATAAAACCTGAGAATCTGTAAGGGGCAAATAATTTTTTTGTAGAGACTCCAGAAAACAGCGGGGGGAAAAACCAAATAGTAAATCATTTCATTTTGCAGGTAAATGTTCAAGTGAACATTTGAAAGAAGAAAATTTTTTCACTAAAAAAAGTTGGAGGGACGCCTGGGTGGCTCAGTTGGTTAAGCAGCTGCCTTCGGCTCAGGTCATGATCCCAGCGTCCTGGGATCGAGTCCCACATCGGGCTCCTTGCTCGACGGGGAGCCTGCTTCTCCCTCTGCCTCTGCCTGCCATTCTGTCTGCCTGTGCTCGCTCTCTCTCCCTCTCTCTGACAAATAAATAAAATCTTTAAAAAAAAAAAAAAGTTGGAGAAGGAAATCAAATATAACATTCAACCAGACTAATAATATTTAAATGATTATATTATAAAAATACATTTAAAGTTTTAGGGGAAATGATATCTAGTGTAATTTTGAATGTAAAGAATGGCTTTTGCTTTCCTCCAGTGCTTTGTAAATACTAATCACGAGCTTGTCTTCAGTGGGAGCTGTTTTCTCTCGGAGTCCTTATTCTCAAGTGTCTATGATGGAACTGATATTTAAATTAAGGCCATTTAACTCTAAAGCCCTAGTGATGATCCACCAAAGAATATAGCCCCTCCATAGATATATAAGATAGCTAGGAATATTTTAGAAAAGAAATTAAGAAAGGTTGGTCTACCAGATATTAAAATACATTACATAACTATGATATGTAAAAATAATGTCATTCACGTGTTAAAATGCCTACACCAGAACCTGTCACATTTTAAGTGCTCAATAAATATTTTTTGAAGGGGTGAATTTACCAGACTCTCCATCTAGAATTCGTTTACCCCAAGGACCTGAACCAGTATGTGTCAAACATTTTCATATGATCGGAACTCAGGATGGTTGTTAAAAACACAGACCCCTTCCCAACCCCCAGAAGGCCCATTCTACAGGATTGAGATGAGAAGTTTTCATTTTCAGCAAGCCCCATGTGATTTCTGATATGGAGGTCCCAGAAACACACCCTAAAATATATCACCCTAGAGGCAGAGAGTGGGCACTCGGGAGAGAGTATCTGGCTGACTGAGAAGTTTCATTTCCCATTATAAACATGTGTTGCCATTATGGTTTAAAAGATAATCTCTTAGAGGTTTGTGTGAGTATCCTCAAGTAACCGATCAACTTTTAGAAATCCAACACAATTAAATTTTCAGATCCAGTAAAAAAATAAAAAAGAATAGCTTTGGGTTTCATAACTTTTACATTTCCGTAAACTCAGAAAAACCGAAGCATAGTACTGGATTTGGCTTCTGGGAGCAATCATGTTCTCAAAAGTGAGGGTTTTATGAAACTTAATGACTTATAGAATATCAACAGTTAAAAATTCAAAATATTGGGGCGCCTGGGTGGCTCAGTGGGTTAAGCCTCTGCCTTCGGCTCAGGTCATGATTCCAGGGTCCTGGGATCGAGCCCCACATCGGGCTCTCTCCTTGGTGGGGAGCCTGCTTCTCCCTCTCTCTCTGCCTGCTTCTCCACCTACTTGTGATCTCATTCTCTCTGTCAAATAAATAAATAAAATCTTTAAAAAAAAAATCCAAAATATTTTAACATCTAAATAAAGGTTAGTTACACACTGCAGAAGGGAGATTTGGGCTTTTACAAATGCCAGTCTCTGGAAAGGGGTATACAAATTACAAGAAAAAGTAGGGGAATATTTGCTAGTTCAGATGGAAAAAGACAAAAAAAACAGGAGTAAAACCCAGGAACGAGATCAATAAAAATACAGACAAGATTGAAGGTTGAATATAGAAAGCTATATTCAAAGCTATAGTTGTTAGTTTAAAATTTTTAATAAATTTCCTGATTGTAGAGATGAAATGATTTTTCTAAATGTTTAGCAAGTATCAAAGAAATGTCCAGAAGAATAGTTTCTGTCCCCTGTATAATAATTACCTGTTGGAATTTTGGTCTGTTTTTCTCTGGGAGGATATTAGGCATTAGGGGAGAGATGTGTAGGGAAAGATAGGTGTCTCTGCAAACAGTAATGGAGTTTTATGTGCTGCTGTGATGTAGTTAACGTAATAGCAGGCACTGCCTTTGAAGTTATTAATTGCATAAGGAGATTTTAAAAGTATGGATGTACTATAAATTACTGAAGCATTTCCTATTGTTATATTATTTCCTTTTCTCTAAAAAAGAAAAAATCATAAATATAATTAAATTAGCTCATGAAATTAAAGAGAACTGAATAGTACAAGAACATGCTCTCATTAAAAATTCAAGCAAAACTGGGATGCCTGGGTGGCTCAGTCAGTTAAGCATCTGCCTTCAGCTCAGGTCATGATCCCAGGGTGCTGGGATCGAGCCCCGCATTGGGCTCCTTGCTCAGCAGGGAGTCTGCTTCTCCCTCTGCCTACCACTCCCCAGCTTGTGCTCTCTCTTTCTCTGACAAATAAATAAAATCTTTTTTTAAAAAATACATCAAAAGTTAATTCATTTTTATGTATTGAATTTGTTTGAACTTCAGGTGTTTCTTTTATTTCCTTTAGTGACTTCTTGCTGCTAGTCTTGAAGGACATTGTGTTGCAGAGACCAACTCTTCAAGTTATTCTAATGAGTGCAACTTTAAATGCTGAGCTCTTTTCAGAATATTTCAGTTCCTGCCCAATTATTACTATACCAGGTGATTAAAATGCATCCTTAAATATGCACTGTTCTAATAAGCAAATATAATTATTTTTAAAGGTCATTTGAGATATAAAATAATAGGTATATGTACCCATTTTCTAGAGAAGTGATTCGTTTGTAACAAATAAAATTATGACCATATAATGAAATAAAGAAGTAACATTATGTCTATTTGCTAAGAGATTTCAGTTTTACTTGTGCTTTTTTGAAAAGTCTAGGTTATTAGGATTTCTAACATTCCATTGTGCTTAACATCAAAGTATGAGTTAGTAATGGTAATCTGTCATAAAGAGAGAAGTTGTCTATGTGTATAAGCATATTGGTTCATTGCTGAATTCTGCTAACTTCTGGGCATAGTCTACTCTAGGAGAAAGTGAAGTTGAATAGTCCATATCTTCTGGTGCTTTCACAGTCTCATTGTGGGATTAATTTATCACCTTGGGCTTTGCTCTGTCCTTTTGCAATTGATTGCCAAAGGGATAATTTGGGGACAATTTTGATGAATAATCGTACTATGTTTTCTGGTTGTTGAATGGTTCAGAGTTCCCTGCGGGGAAGAAAGGGAGGTTGAGAAAAGTGTAATAGGTTTAAAAAAAAGAGAGTGGGTTTTTTTTTTTAAGTCTTATTACTAAATGAGCATCTCTGCACCTATGCACTTCTGGGGTTTTTTACGAGCTGGAATCTAACCCCTCTAGGAATTTCTATCATCAGAAGCTTTTGTTTTTCTTTCTCTCTCTCTCTCTTTTTTTTTTTCCTTCGGTATTTTTAAGACCATAGAACAAACCATCCCTTGTGCCACACTTTATTTTAAGAGAATTTTACATTGGGACGCCTGGGTGGCTCAGTTGGTTAAGCGGCTGCCTTCGGCTCAGGTCATGATCCCAGCGTCCTGGGATCGAGTCCCACATCAGGCTCCTTGCTCGGCAGGGAGCCTGCTTCTCCCTCTGCTTCTGCCTGCCTCTCTGTCTGCCTGTGCTCGCTCACTCTCTCTCCCTCTGTCTCTGACAAAAAAAAAAAAAAAAGAGAATTTTACATTTACCAACTATTTATGTCAAGATAATTGAATAGGTATTCTGAGGCTTCTCTCTTTTATTTTTTTGTTCTTCTAGGTCGTACATTTCCTGTTGATCAGTTTTTTCTGGAAGATGCAATTGCTGTGACAAGGTAAGGAAGATATTCATGAGGGTTTGGTGAAAGTCTTTGAAAAGAATGATCATTTTAGGGGTGCCTGGGTGGCTCATTTGGTTAAGTGGCTGCCTTCAGCTTGGGTCATGATCCCAGGGTCCTGGGGGTCGAGCCCCACATCAGGCTCCCTTCTCAGCGGGGAGCCTGCTTCTCCCTCTCCCTCTGCCTGCTGCTTTGCCTACTTGTGCTCTCTATCTCTGTGTCAAATAAATAATTTAAAAAAAAAAACCTTAAAAAAATGATCATTTTACCTCAGCGTGCCAAGTTTTTAACAGATGTGTTCATTTTTCTTCTGATTTTTCTGCTTGAGCATTTTGTTTTCCCTTTACAGCTATTATTATACAAATTATTTGCAATTTACAGACAATATTGTATATTCGGTACTAACTGGGACCCTAATGTAAACTATAGGCTTTGGGTGTTCATGATGTACCACTGTAGGCTCATCAGTTAGACAATTATACCACTCTCATGGGGGGATAGTGATAACGAGGGAGGCTATGCCTATGTGGGGAATGGGGTGTTGGGAAATCTCTGTACGTTCTGCGCAATATTGCTGTGAACCAAAACAGCCGTGAAGAAGGAGGTGTATTTAAAAAATGAAGAAGGACCGGGACGCCTGGGTGGCTCAGTTGGTTAAGCAGCTGCCTTCAGCTCAGGTCATGATCCCAGCGTCCTGGAATGGAGTCCCACATCGGGCTCCTTGCTCGGCAGGGAGCCTGCTTCTCCTTCTGCCTCTGCCTGCCACTCTGTCTGCCTGTGCTCGCTCGCCTTCCCTCTCTCTCTGACAAATAAATAAATAAAAATCTTAAAAAAACAAAACAAAACAAAAAACTTAAAAAAAATGAAGAAGGACCAAATACATGGAAAATTTAATAAGAAAGAAAAAGACCAATTCTGCAGATAGACTGCTAGCATTCAAATGCCTCCACTTACAAGGGGCGTCTGGCTGGCACAGGAGTGTGTGATTCTTGATCTTAGGGTTGTGAGTTTGAGTACATTGGATATAGGGATTACTTAAATAAATAATTAAAAAAAAAATCCCCTCTACTTACAAACTAACAATGACAAGTAGCTTAATCTCTCTATGACTCAATTTCATCATATGTAAAGTGGTCATATTTTTAATAGCTGCTTCATAGGGTTGTTACGAGGATTAATTAATTAATTAATTCTTGGAGTAAATAGCTGCAGAGTGCCTAGAACTGAGCCTGGCGCATAGCAGATGCTTTATGTGTGTTAGCTGTTATCATCATCACCATCCTACAAGCCTCAGGGAGCTTGCAGGGTACTGTGAGTATTAGGATGTCTGTAATTTCAATAATTGGTAGAAAATAGTCATTTTTATTGGATACAAACATTTTTCTCCTTTGAAAGCCCTGATTCCTCTTCCCACTCTTTGACCTTGAAGACTCCCCATGGTTTTATCCTTGCACTATTTCTTCTCACTGTAAAACTCCTTCATCCCTCCATTAGACTCCTGTGATTTCAGATGTCACCTCTGTGCCAAGAATTCCCAGATCATTATCTTCATTCCTGACCTCTGAGTTCCAGAAGTAAAATACCCTTGATGTCTGGCACCTGAATTCAATTCAGAATTTTTCTCCTTCACTGCTCCGTCCATTGCTAACAAGCCCCACTCCTAATTCTCTATTTATTTAATGGTACAATATTCTCAAGCTAAAAACCCCGAACCATTGGCTCCCAAACTTTGGTGTGCAGTAAGCATATGTAGGGAGCTCATTACAGTTGTCATTCTCTGGGCCCCCTCCCACTTCCATTGAATGGGAATCTCTGGGGAAATTAATCTTTCAACTAGTTTCCCAGTCCTTATTCCCTCACCTGCAAACTCAGACTCACTGCCTCTATCCTGTCTGCCTCTAGAATGATCTTGAGACAGAAGCAAAAGCATTCCAGGGTGGTCCCTCCCCAGAAACAGGGTCTGGCCAGCAGAACCCTGGACTGGTGGAATAGTAGCACACAAATTGGGCAGGAGCAGAGCAACATTCTGCCGAATGAGCATGTAAATCGGTGAAAATTTTCATTTCTCACCAGCAGACCCAAATCCACACAGACTCATTCCTTTGTCTTCCATCCTCAGGTATGTGTTACAGGACGGGAGCCCGTATATGCGCTCCGCGAAGCAGATGACAAAGGAGAAGCTGAGAGCAAGGCACAGCAGAACTGCATTTGAAGAAGTAGAGGAAGACCTGAGGCTCTCTCTTCACCTCCAGCCCCAGGATTCTGTCAAAGATGCAGTGCCAGACCAGCAGTTAGATTTCAAGCAGCTCCTGGCCCGCTATAAAGGTAACCCGTTTCCTGGGGGAATAGTACACTTATGCCAAAGGTAACCAGTGATCCAGAGGAAGAAGAAAGTGGCTGTTATTTCATAGCTACATTGTCTTAATTCATCAAAACAACCTTAAACTTAGAAAAAGAGCAGTTCCAGCACATATTAAATAGAATTGTTACTGTATTTACCAGTAGGGTTTTTTTTTCTGATTATGAAAGATGTGTTTATTATAGAAAAATTGGGAAATAGTGTAATATAAATATATACTTGAGTATTTTATAACTTTTTATTTTGATATAATTGCGAATTCAAAATTAAAAGTTGGCAGAACTATACAGTGAACTCTCTTATACCCTTCACCCCCGTTCACCGATTTTTATTATTTTGCCTCATTTGTTTTATCATCTGCTCTGTGCACATGTATCTATTTCTTTCCTGAGCCTTTTGAGTAAGTTGCAGATAGGGTGTCCTCTAATTCCTAACATTTTAATATGTATTTTTTTTTAAGATTTTATTTATTCATTTGAGAGAGAGACAGTGAGAGAGGGAACACAAGCAGCGGGAGTGGAAGAGGGAGAAGCAGGCTTCCCATCGAGCAGGGAGCCCGATGCAGGGCTCAATCCCAGGACCATGGGATCATGACCTGAGCCAAAGGCAGATGCTTAACGACAGCCATCCAGATGCTCTTAATATGTATTTCTTAAAAGCATAAGCACTGGACATGATCAAAATGAAGATATTTAACTGATATAATGCTATTATTTAATCAATAGTCAATATTCTAATTTTGCCAATTATCGAAAAAATGTTCTTTATTGCTATTTTTTTTCTGGTCCAGAATCCAACCCACAATTACATATTGAGTTCGTTGTGTATTTTTAGTTTCTTTTGATCTGGAAAAATTCCCCAGCCTGTATTTTTCTTTTAAAATCTTGACATTTTTGGGAGTTTGGGCCAGTTATTTTGTAGAATGTCCCTCCATTTGGTTTTGTCTAATGTTTCCCTATGACTAAATTTAGATTAGAAAACCTAACCTGTTGGGTTTCATCTTTGGTTAGAAAACCACAGAAACAGGGGCGCCTGGGTGGCTCCGTCGGTTAAATGGCTGCCTTCGGCTCAGGTCATGATCCCAGGGTGCTGGGATCGAGTCTCACATTGGGCTCTCTGCTCAGAGGGGAGCCTGCTTCCTCCTCTCTCTGCCTGCCTCTGTCTACTTGTGTTCTCTCTGTCAAATGAATAAATTAAATCTTTACAAAAGAAAACCACAGAAACAATGTTGAGTTGTTCTTGGTACATCATATCAGGAGGCATATGACGTTGGTTTGTCCCATTATTGACGGTATTATTTTTGATCACTTGGTTAAGGTGATGTCAGCTAGGTGTCTCTGGTGTGTAGTTACTGTTTGTTCCCTTTATAGTTAGTAAGTCATTTGTGGAAAGATGTTTGAGGCTATTTAAATATCCTGTAATAGCCTCAAAATTTCATCCACTAGTTTTAGCATTACTTTTGGGCTTAACATCTTTTGTGGGGCACCCCGTGCTGAGCATTTGTATGTATGTTGTTAGGTGCTCCTTCCTCCTCCTGCTAGGTGCCAGACCCCACCTAACTGTTCTTTGTTCCTGGATAGTCTTCTGTACATATAAGCTGGGCTGAGCACATAGAAACCCCAAGGTTGCTACTTCTGTTTTCTTCCCTAAAGCCTACATTAGAGACAGGTCTCAGCTTCCCTTCCCACTCTTTTCCCTGGACTGCCACCCCAATTCCTCTTAGCCTTTTTTTTTGGGGGGGGAGTGTATTTACCTTTCAAGGAGTAAGAGCCTCTAACCCCCCTGTTACTGCTTCTATGGGAGAAGAGACAAGTGGGTGTTCCTTTTTCTCCTTCCTCTGAAGACTATATTCCCAGTCCTGCATAGGGAACAGCAATCATCCAGGAATTAGGGAATTAGCTGTTATTCTGCTGTTTAGGAAGATATGAATAGCTCCTAAACATTATTTCACTTAACCTTCCCAACATCCTGAGAAGTAAGGTTGAGAGCATGAACTTGCATCGGATAGAGCTGGGTTCAACTTGCTCGCTCGTGCAGAGTTCCTCGAGCGAGTTCTTTGTGCTCTCCATACCTGTTTCCTTAGCAATAAAATGGAGTTGTTTAGGGAATTAAATGAGATAATACAAATCCACTGCACAGCACCCAGCTAGTGAGTGCACATTTGTGATTCTAATTAAAATATGTCTGAGTCAAAAGTTTGTGTTCTTTCTATACATCACACCAGCTGATAATTCCCATTTCCTATTCTATTAAATTATTTCAGAATTATTTTAGAAACTTCAGAATTTTCTTCAAAAATAATGACTGGATGGGGCACCTGAGTAACTCAGTCTGTTAAGTATCCAACTCCTGATTTCAGCTCAGGTCATGATCTCAGGGTTGTGAGACTGAGTCTCATGTCGGGCTCTACGCTCAGCGTGGAGGCTGCTTGAGATTCTCTTTCCCTCTCCCTCTGTCCCTCCCCCACCTTGTGCTCTCTATCTCTAAAATAAATAAATCTTTTTTTTTTAAGATTTTATTTATTTATTTGACAGACAGAGATCACAAGTAGGCAGAGATGCAGGCAGAGAGAGCAGAGGAAGCAGGCTCCCTACTGAGCAAAGAGCCCGAAGCAGGGCTCGATCCCAGGACCCTGGGATCGTGACCCAAGCTGAAGGCAGAGGCTCAACCCACTGAGCCACCCAGGTGCCCCTAAAATAAATAAATCTTTTAAAAATAAATAAAATAAATTATGCCTGGATCTAAGCCAGGCCTTTCTAATTTCAAGCACACAGGTTACCAAAGTTCAAGAAGTACTTCTGAGAACTTCTTTCTGAAGGAGGAGGATGGAATGTTTGGGGTTAAGAAACCTGGCTCTACGCGCCTGGGTGGCTCAGTGGTTTAAGCTGTTGCCTTCGGCTCGGGTCATGATCTCAGGGTCCTGGGATCGAGTTCCGCATCGGGCTCTCTGCTCACCAGGGAGCCTGCTTCCCTCCCTCTCTCTGCCTGCCTCTCTGTCTACTTGTGATCTCTCTCTGTCAAATAAATAAATAAATAAATCTTTAAAAAAAAAAAAAGAGAAAGAAAGAAACCTGGCTCTACCACTAGCTTCTGTGTGGTGGTGGGCTTCTCCCTTTCCCTGTATCAAAAAGACCAGATCTAGTTGATCTCAAGGCTCTCTCATTTTTCAGAAAATTAAATAATGTTTCTGAGCTCAATTTTTAAAACTTTTTCTAGTTAAATAATAATAATCAGTCCTCTTAAGTGTATAATTGATTAGCAAAAAACGCCAAACTATTCTTAAAAAATTATTTTCACTTCTTTTCTCTCTGGTAGCTAATCCTTTCTCCTTTTTGAAAAGTCTGCTCTTTGGAATCTTGACATATAAAAATGATTCCTTCTCTGCCCTCCACACCCAACCACATCCTTTCTTTTTGTATTTCTTGGGTTGCTTTTTTTTTTTTCTTTCGGTTTTTGTTGTTACTGTTTTTAAGGTTTTATTTGTCAGAGAAAGAGAGAGAACACAAGCAGGGGGAGCGGCAGTCAGAACAGGCAGAGCAGGTAGAGGGAGAAACAGGCTCCCCGCTGAGCAAGGAGCCCAATGTGGGACTCCATCCCATTACCTCGGGATCATGACATGAGCAGAAGGCAGCCCCTTAACCAACCGAACCACCCAGGTGTCCCACCTCTTTTCATGTTTGACCAGTGTAGGGTTCACACTGCCAGAACAACATTATTTAAAACCGCTTTTGCCACTCTTCAAACTTTTCAGCATAGTATAGGAAGCTTCCTTTCCTTCATATCACCTGCAGCTGTTTTGTCCCAATTAGACTATATTCAGGGCGATGGGCTATTAATAGGCCCCGAGAAGAAAGGCCAGCGGTCTTTGAGGAGTTAGTCTTCCCAAGACTATGCTATTTGTTTTCAAGAGAGCTTAGGCACACAGTACAGCCCAAAGAACTGCATCTTTCACTAGGGCCTCAGATACATTAGGAGGAGACTGGAGACCCTAACCTGAAAGTCTATGACTAGAATTCAGGGATTGTTGGTGAAGCCATTAAAATCACATGTATTTTTCAGGAAGATCCAGCACTTCTGTTTTTTTTTCAAAGGAACCTAAAGGTTAAGAGTCACTGTGGTGAGGGTGTTTGTGAAAGCTGCGGTCTTTTTCCGTCGATTTCCCTGTATCACTGTTACCTGGACTTCCATCGGATCTGACTCATGACTTGGTTGAATCTGGAAGGGCTTTCCAAAGTGCACTTGACTTTGAATTTTGTTTCTAGGATTTAAATTGTCAATAAATGTGTGACAGATTAAAGAGGGGAAGGAAGAAAGGAAAACGTGGCCGATTTGGGCCTTTCCAGCAGGGTCAGGTGCATGTTCTTTGCGTCACTGTTCAAGCAAAAAGTGCTCCTAGCCAGCATGTATTTTTTTGAGAGACTGGAAGAAAACAATTCATTTCCATGCATAAATGTGAACAACATCTGTGTCATTAAATCAAGAGACTCACCGAGTTCACAGGCAACATTGTCCTTAATAAGGTATAATTATCCTGCTGATTTTTACCTTTCTTTCAGGGGTTAGCAAATCAGTCATCAAAACAATGTCCATCATGGATTTCGAAAAGGTTAATCTTGAATTAATAGAGGCCTTGTTAGAGTGGATTGTAGATGGAAAGCACTCCTACCCTCCAGGTAAACTCATCTTGTCTTCCTTTGTGTGTAGACGGCCAAAAGGGAAAGCAGCTCTCTCACTGAGATATAGTGTGTGCTGTGGGGGCAGCCGCCCTGCCTGGAGCCCTCCCCCAACCCCCACCCTCACTTTTCCACCCCCAACTGCATGTAACGTTGGTTATTAGGCTTTTCAGAGGGGGAATTTTACCTTTTACTTTTTGAGGTTCACCCACTCCTTTTTTTTTTTTTAAAGATTTTATTTATTTATTTGTCAGAGAGAGAGAGAGAACACAAGCAGACAGATTGGCAGGAAGAGGCAAAGAGAGAAGCAGGCTCCCCGCTGAGCAAGGAGCCCGATGTGGGACTTGATCCCAGCACCCTGGGATCATGACCTGAGCCGAAGGCAGTGGCTTAACTGACTGAGCCATCCAGGTGTCTCCACCCACTCCTTTTTGTTCAGCACAATTTTGGTTCCCACTGAACAAAAAGATGTTAATAATACAAAGTCCAAAAGGAAGAAAGCTGAAAAGAAGGCCTGGGTGATCTATATGGTAAACCCTGCGCCCCAGGCTAGATGGGAGTCTGGTGATGAGTGTTTGAAGTCCATGAAGACTCTGTACATGGAGGTCACAGGGCTAGGGGCGGGGAGGGGGTTGTTGGGTAGCAGAACTGGGTTTGGAGTCTGATAAACTTCTAGCTCTGCTACTCAGAAACGTTTAGTCTCAGATAAAGTCCTTATCCTTGCTCTTCCTCAGTTTTCTGGCCTGTGAAATGAAGAGAATCATAATTCCTCTGACATATAGCTGTTTTTAGGATTAAAAGAAACCGTATATAGGGGGAGCCTGGGTGTCTCAGTCGGTGGAGCTTGTGACTCTTGATCTCAGGACTGTGAGTTTGAGCCACATGTTGGGTGTAGAGATTACTTAAAAATAAAATCTTTTTTAAAAAGTAAGAAAGAAACCATATGCAAAGCACTTAGTATAGTGCCTGGCATATAGTTAATGCCCAGTAGATTCTACCCCTAATAATGGTAACATTATAATTATAACATGCTTCATTATTATTATTGCTAGGCTCACGTTACTGCTGCTGCAGCTTGACCCAGAGCAATCACTACTTTCCCCTTACTCACTGTCTTCCCATCCCAGTGGCCTTCTTAACCTCACTTGTAGTCCTTTATCCCCCAAATCTCATAACTGAATCCTTCCCATCACTCAGGTTCTGTCAAATATCTTCTCTTCAGGGAGGTCTTCTCTGACCACCCTATCTGTTTTCTCACTCCCACCCCTTACACCGTCATGATACCCAAAAGTGATTTTCATTATAGCATTTCACAATACCCAGAATTATAGTTCTACTTACTGACAGTTTCCTTCAGTAGAATTATAGCAGACTCCTTAAGAATAAGGATTTATCGTGCACCACTGTGTTCCTCAGAGCCCAGGACGGCACCTGGAATATTTAGGTACAGAGTAAATATTCGTTGCGTGAATAGATGCAGCCATTGTTGGGGGATCGTAAGTTGACCAAACAGTTCCGTCACGCGCTCACTACACAGTGCTTTGAGGAACTGGGAATGGCCGCCCTCCTCTGCTTAGACCGTAGTCATTACACGATATTTTCTGTAGATACGTAGGAGCCACATGAAGGGATTGAAGTGCCCTGTTTGCTACTTCTTGGCAAGTAGTCCGTGTTGGCTAATGCATTGTCACTGGGCTGGAGGTCTTGTTTCATCCCAAAGGAAAAGGTGATTGTTGAGAAACATCAGACATAGCAGACAAAAAGAACTGTTAGAAATTTACCCGAATTCATTGGGGGACCACCCTGGCCTAGGCATACCAGGTGGGTTGTGTGGGTGGGTGTCTTTATGATAATTATCTCTGACCAACAAAAGAATAACCAGGCCCTAAAAAGGAAGTAAGCCATTGAAGGTGTGATCAATAGAGATGTTAAAACGATTTAAGCTCCCTGGTTAGCTTTCTGTAAGAGACCAACCCTAAAGGCCCTCATTGGCAACCCTGTAGTAACTCTGTCAGGACCCCTTCCACTCTTGAGAACTTTTTCTGTATCTTCACTTAATAAACTTATATCACTTTATTAATAAAAAAAAAAAAAGAAAGAAAGGAAGGAAGGAAGAAAGAAAGTTTACCTGAATTCAAAGCAAAGTAAATGTAGTGAGTAGGGACTCTGATAGATTTGTGAATATTAAAGATATCCCTGATACAGGGGCCCCTGGCTGGCTCAATCAGTAGAGCATGTGACTCTTGATCTTGGGGTTGTGAGTTCAAGCCCCAGGTTGGGTGTAGAGCTTACTTTATTTAAAAAAAAAAAAAAAAAGTTTCCCCAATACAGGTGGCCAAGCTGTAAGGGCAGAGCAGATCAGGAGGCACATAAAAACATGACAGAAAGATTTTTCCCATCTGTATAAATTATTTTACCACCCTTTTCTTCTTTTTAATGTTTAATGTATTTATGGCTTGCCTGGGTGGCACCATCAGTTAAGTGACTGACTCTTAGTTTTGGCTCAGATCATGATGTCGGGGTTGTGACATGGAGCATCTCAAATAAATAAATAAAATCTAAAAAAAAAAAAAATTATTTATTTTAAAGAGAGAGCATGGGGAGGGTGGGGATTGGACAGAGGGAGAGGGAGAGAAAAACTTAAGCAGATTCCCGCTGAGCACAGAGCCTATCGTGGGGCTGGTGACCTGAGTCAATTTTACCACTCTTAAATTTTGTGGTATTTTAATAGAGAGGAACATGGAATGTATAATGGAAAGAACATGGGTCTGTTGCCCGAAACCTTAGGTTTGTGTCCAAACCCCACTCTTAACTCTGTCGCCTGGCCAAGGTACTGAGTCACTTTGAAGGTACTAATAATCTTAATGGGTAGTTGTGAGAATCAAATGAGAAAGTGTATGTAAACATGCTTTATAAACTAGGAAGTGTTGAAACTAACCCTCAAAAGTATCTTTTGCCTCCTTCAGGGTTCCTTTTTTTTTTTTTTAAGGTTTTATTTATTTATTTGACAGTGAGATCACATGTAGGCAGAGCGGCAGGCAGAGAGCGGGTGAAGCAGACTCCCTGCTGAACAGAGAGCCCAATTCGGGGCTCGATCCCAGGACCCTGGGATCATGACCTGAGCCGAAGGCAGAGGCTTTAACCCACTGAGCCACCCAGGTGCCCCCCAGGGTTCCATTTTTTAAATAATTTAGTTTCCTTATTTACTTAGTGAGGAAAATAACTATGATAAATAATAGGTCTTTGTTCCTTATGGGCAGATCTTTGGTTTATATTTCATCGAACCCAGCACAGAGCTGACACAGGCACCCAATAAATATTTGTGGGATTAAGGGAGGGGCTAGTGAAGATTTCCTCTTCGGATAAAGCACAAAAGAAGGTGGCTTGCTGAGTGTCCACGCTTGGCACAGAAATATCCTATAATTAGTTATCACTGCTTATTTTCTTTAATGTAAAATTTAAAAGCCCATAAATGTTAACATGGCACAGTTAGTTACTGTGCTGCCTCTCCAACATATATCTGAATTTAGGTTTTCAGGGTGGCCAGCCAATTATATTTTCTTTTTCTCATTTCCAGTAAAATGCTTATGGATTTTATTTACTAATAGAAGAGTCTTCCTGTCTTATAAGATTAGAAGGATAACTCTTCCCATAGAAACAATGTCAGTAGCCAGTGCACTGAAGAAGTATGTTTAAAGAGCTTTGCTCATGATTCTTGTATAACTTAAGGTATTACATTTTTCCGCACTTCAGTTTTTCCTCTTGTAGAAGGATAATAATACCCCATTTGTTTTGGAATTAAGTCAGAAAATGTATGAAAAACACTGCTATCCATTTAAATCCCTGGGGACTTTACAAAGAAAATTGACAGTGGAAAAATCTCAGATTATTATATATATTTTTTAATTTAAAATAGCTCTGTAGTCCATACTTGTTTTCCCTTTTCTGCATCTATCACATTGATTGTTTTTATGTACCCAGGTGCTATCCTTGTATTTTTACCGGGACTAGCAGAAATCAAAATGCTGTATGAACAGCTACAGTCTAATTCTCTCTTCAACAACAGACGCAGTCATCGGTAAGTTCATTGCTTTCCAGATCCTTAAGCATCTGTTGCAGTTACATGCGAAGACAAATAACCAGAATGGTCTCTGATAGCCATCACGCTCTTTAGACCCTGGTGTCACTCCTCAAGCATATGTTTGTGTGCCAGCTGGAAGGAGGCAAACCGATTTGTTCCGGGGAATCAATCATTTCCATTCCATTAAATAAAAATATTTCTCTTCACTTAGCGTAGTGACTCAGCAAAATTGCATGTAATTTCAGTTGCCACATACAGGGGATGGGAGAAGCCAGTGTAAGTAACAACAAAGAAGTGCTGCCATTTGAGAAAAAAGTAATTTGTAACAGCTTCTTTTCCAGATGTGCATTTTCATATAAGGTGACAAGTACTGAAGACATGAAAGCTCCCTAGAAGCACAAGGAGGAAGTCTCTTAGCATAAGTCACTGTCTCTGCCTCTCATTCTCTGGATTTCAAGACAGAGGAAAAATAATTCTCTACTGTTAGTGTGCTTTAGGTTTGTTACTTGTACAATATCAACTATTTAGTCCTCTTGACTATACTACTAAGTTACACTCCAGTTTTTCCCAAGGTGGTGTAGGGTTTCTAGTTCATAGTCCTGGGTACACGTTTTGTAAGGCTCATAAGGAACCTTCTCATTTAGAGGAGCTGGGCCCTGAGGGCAGGTTGTAGAGAAGCTGCTGACACTCGGAGGCCAATTGTTAATTTTAATAGAAATTCACCCACCATTAATCCAGTTTCAGCTTTGTGTGCTAGAACACTGAATGTGCTTCTGTTTTCTTTCAGATGTGTGGTGCACCCACTTCATTCATCTTTATCCAGTGAAGAGCAGCAAGCAGTGTTCGTAAAACCCCCTGCGGGTGTAACCAAGATCATCATTTCCACCAACATTGCAGAGACATCCATAACCATCGACGATGTTGTCTATGTCATCGATTCCGGGAAAATGAAAGAGAAGAGGTATTTTCCTTTGGCACTGTAAGAGGAGGGCTAAAGATGTCTCGGTGAGGCTGATGTGGCAATAACTGATGCTCTTGAGCTACACGGATTGCCATTTGAGAAAATGTTTTATGAAAACTGTGGGTATATCTGAGTGATCTGTACCAGGACCGTAGTCTTAGAGTCACACGTGGTGGAAATTTTCAGGTTTTACCTTGGAAGTAGTTCTTTTTCCTCTCACTTTTTTTCATAGGCTTTCCATGTGCTTGAATGAAAAACAGGTGATCTAAGTGGTGATGGCTGTGTTCATTAGTTTGATTGTCGTAACCATTTCACAGTATACCCATATGTGTCCAAACATCATATTGTGTACCTTAAGTACAGACAGTTTTTATTTGTCAAATAAATATAAAAAAGCAAAAGAAAAAAAGAAAAGGTTGTGGAAAGGAACTGTATGTAATTCACCAACATCTAATGCCACTGAAATCTGTGCTGTATGCTCCTGCCACGGACTGAAATATCCAAGAACACATAGGACCCATGTCTTTCGGTGGAAGTAAGGTGGTGCATCTGTTCTATCCATGCTCAGTAGGATGTTTTTATAAAATAGTTCCTTTTTCCACTTTCTTTTCCTCTGTAGGTATGATGCCAGCAAAGGGATGGAGAGCCTAGAAGATACTTTCGTCTCTCAAGCCAATGCTCTGCAGAGGAAAGGTCGAGCAGGCCGTGTTGCCTCTGGGGTCTGCTTCCACTTATTCACCAGCCATCACTTCAATCATCAGCTGTTAAAACAGCAGCTTCCAGAGATTCAAAGAGTGCCGTTAGAGCAGCTGTGTCTGAGGTACACCTTGATCTTTATGTTCTGGCTTCTGGAAGGTCCACAAGTTTCTCACCCTAAGTCCCGTGTGTTCTTCTTAGAACATTTTGCTGAGAGTGGACATGGATGAACTCACTCATTTGCAAAGGAAGAGCTCTTCAGTGTTATCTGTACCATTCACTGTAACTTTCTGCACATGAAGATCTCTTACATTGCAAAGAATGGCCCTAAAGTAGAGCTTAGGAATACATTTGTAACTCAGGAAAATAATCTAACTGATCAAGAAATTTCTGCTAGGGGCAACACCAATATTAAATCATCAAAGGTAAAAAAAAAATATATATATATATATATACAGCCTCATTATCAGGGCAAAGTGAACAAAAACAACTTGAAAAACACCCTCATTTACCCGATGAACAAAGAAGAACAAATACCATAAAATGGGATTTAATAAATGACTGATCTAACTCAGTGTTACTGAAGCTGGGCAACATTTGGTGGTTGAAATGTGGTTGGCATTATGTAAGAACTCACACTATCCCTGCCCTCTGACCCAGGCACTGCTTTGAGGGAGTATGCCCATAAAATAATAACCCAAAAAGAGTTACTTATACAAAGATGTCATAGCTCTCCTATTATCCAGCAGGTATATTTTGAAAGCCTTCCATTTGCCAGGGGTTGAGCTAAGCACTAGAGATAGGATACAAGACCCAGGCCCCGCTTTAAAGTGTCCACAGTCAGGTCTTAAGAAGTTGGGCAAGCAGTTGTCTTGAACTAAGGTAGTAACGGTGCAAATGAAGAGGAGCAAAGGGATTTGAGAAATCTTTGAAAGTTGAATGACCCATGAGGGAGGATGAAAAAGAGGAAAATATAATCACATAGTACATATGATTTAAAAACAGCTCAGGGGCACCTGGGTGGCTCAGTCGGTTGGGTGTCCCAACTCTTGATTTTGGCTTAAGTCATGATCTCAGGTTGGGAAGATCAAGCCCCACTTCGGGCTCTATGCTCAGCTCAGAGTCTGCTTAAGATTCTCTCTCTCCCTCCCCCTTGGCCTTTCCCCCCGCCCCCCACAAAAAAAAAAAAAAAAAGACAAAATGTATTTAAACTAGCATTGTCAGCTTATGAAAACATGTCTGGGAAATTATCAACTATTTTTGTTCAAGAGAGAAGCTTACTCCTCTGTGTCATCTCTCCAGAAATAAAATGGACAAATTACTATTTTGTTTTCTTTTTGTAGAATTAAAATTTTAGAGATGTTTAGCACTCACAATCTCCAGTCTGTGTTCTCTCGGCTCATTGAGCCGCCACACACTGACTCTCTCCGCGCCTCAAAAATACGATTACGAGACTTAGGAGCATTAACTCCAGATGAAAAGCTGACCCCCCTAGGGTATCACTTGGCCTCTCTGCCCGTGGATGTGAGAATCGGCAAACTGATGCTGTTTGGGTCTATCTTCCGCTGTCTGGATCCTGCCCTCACCATTGCTGCCAGTTTGGCTTTTAAGTCTCCTTTTGTAAGTAAACACCATTCATCTAAACTGGAGTCCACGGGTCTCTAAGGGGACCATGGGGGCTTCAAGGTTATGTGAGCCTCCCCACATGTTTTCTTGTGAGGACGATAGATGGGAAGTCTTAGGTCACAGTGTCTATAACTTTTGTCTGATCCTTAAAGAAATCCATGCCTCAAATGAAGATTAAGAACTGAAGATCCAATTTACTGAAAGAATCTAAATGGGCGTTTTATTGTATCTGCTCCAACCTTGAGCATTAAAGAAAAATCAAAAAATGCAAGCAAGCAAAAGTACCCCAGCATGACTTTAAAAGGCAGTAAATACATTGGACTGCTTTTTTTTTTTTTAACAGCTTTCTTAAAATATAATTTGCCCATTTAAGTTATACCTCCAGTAGTTTTTAGTTTATGTGGTCCTCATCATGGTCAGTTTTAGAACATTTTTATTACCTCATAAAGAAACCCCTTAGCAGTCATTCCCCTTTCCCTCTCTAATCCCTCATCCTCTGTAGCCCTGGGCGACCACCTGTTGGCTTTCTGTCTTCATAGATTTACCTCTTCCAGACATTTCATATTAACGAAATAATACATGGTCTTTTGTGACTGGATTCTTCACTAGCATAATGCTTCTAAGGTGCATCTGTGTTGTAGCATAACCAGTACTTCGTACTTTGCCTAATAATATTCCTTCGAGTGGACGTGCCCCATATTGTTTTTCTGTCCGCACTGGATAGACATTTGCTGGTAAACGCTCATGTACAAGTTTTTAATGTAGACAAATGTTTTTATTGGTCTTGGGTACATACCTAGGAGTAAAATTACTAGATCAAATGGTAACTCTATATTGAACTTTCTGAAGAACTTCCAGTTCTTTTCCCAGAGTAGCTGCACATTACATTCCACCAGCCAGGGTTGCAGTTTCTCCCCATCTTCACCAACACTTGTTATTATCTGACTTTTTTAACTATAATCTTCCTACGGGGTGTGAATTTGTACAGGGTGTGACTTGTGTTTCTCTAATGGCTAATGATAATAAACATCTTTTCATTTGCCTGTTTGCCATTTGTATATCTTCTTGCAAGGAATGTCTGTTCAGATCCTTTGCCCACTTTTTAATTGGGTTATTCATGTTTTTATTACTGATTTGTAAGGGTTGTTTATATTTTCTGGAAACAGGTCAGAGAGAAATACGGTTTGCATGTATTTTCTCCCATTCCGTGGGTTACCTTTTTCACTTTCTTAATATGTCCTTTGAAACACGAAAGTGTTTAATTTTGATGAAGTCCAGTTTATCCAGTTTTTGTTCCTTGAGCTTCCATTGTCATAGTTAAGAATCCTAAAAAAAAAAAAAAATACAAAATACCAAAAAAGACTCCATTGCCAAAATAGCTGAAGGGGAATGGAAGATATAGGCTTCCAGTTACAGAATAAGTCATGGGAATAAAAGGCACAGCACAAAGACTATAGTCAACAAGATTGTAACAGTGTTGTATGATGACAGGTGGTAGCTACATTTGTGGTGAGCATAGCATAAGGTATCAATTATTGACTTGTCAAATCGCTATGTTGTATCCTAAAACTAATATAACACTGTGTGTCAACTACATTAAAAAAAAAATCCATTGCCAGATCCAAAGTTATGAAGATTTATCCCTACGTTTGTTTTTTTTTCCTAAGGCTTATAGTTTCATTTTTACTTATTTTTTAGCAGGGGGTAGCAGCAGAGGGAGAGGGAGAATCTTAAGCAGACTCCATGCTCAGCGTGGAGCCTGACGTGGGGCTCGATCTCACAACCCTGAGATTGTGACCTGAACTGAAATCAAGAATAGGATGCTTAACCAACTGAGCCACCTGGGTGCCCCATAAGAGTCTTAGAGTTTTTGCTCTTACATTATGGCCTTTGGTCTATTTTGAGTTAATTTTTGTAAATGGCATGTGATAAGAGATAAGAATCCAACTTTATTCTTTTGCATATGACTGTTCAAGCATCCCAGTACCATTTGTTGAAAAGACTATTCTTTCGCCATTGAATGGTCTTGGCATTCTTGTCAAAATTCATGAGGCGCCTGGCTGGCTCAGTCCTATAGCGTGCAACTCTTGATCTTGGAGTTGTAAGTTCTTCGAACCCCACATTGGGTATAGAGATTATTTAAAAATAAAATCTTCAAGAATAAAAGAAAGAAAGGCCTCAGTAAAATGTGCTCTTCAAACCTGGTTTTCCTCATTTAGGTGTCTCCCTGGGATAAAAAAAAGGAAGCTAACCAGAAAAAGCTAGAATTTGCATATGCAAACAGCGACTATCTGGCTCTTCTACAAGCATATAAGGTAAGTATATATATATATATATAAAATACATAATATATATATATTCTGGTCATATACCTCCGCTATTATATATATATAATTATATATTGTATATTATAATAAAATATATAATATTTTCTTATATAAAGGAATTATATACATAATATATAAATAAAATATATAATATAATTATATATAATATATATATTCTGGTCATACATCTCAGCTACTAAGTTATATATAGATATATATACATATAACTGTATATTTATGTATACATGTAACTATGTATATGTATACATATACATATATATGTGTGTGTGTGTACACGCACACACACAACTTAATAGCTGAGGTGTATGACCAGAATTGGCACTAAAGAGTCAGTTCACTTTTATTTTCTTCCAAATTTAGGGATGGCAACTAAGTACGAAAGAAGGAATGCGTGCAAGTTACAATTACTGCAGACAGAACTTCTTGTCTGGAAGAGTTCTTCAGGTGAGTTGTTTCTGTGCAGGTTTGTTTTTGTTCATTTTCTGTTATAGCCGCACGCCAGAGGGTGTTGCAACTTTGTCTCCCTTGTCCTGCTTCAACATTGAAAGTGTCATTTCTGGAATATGTTTGGCTTTATCAGCTGTTGTATAAAACACACTCCTGTTTTACATCCTCTGACATGAGGCCTTCTGCACTGAACCTTTCAACTGACCCACTTTTCCTCTTTTCATTGAATCTGTGTTTACTTATGTGGAGGATGGAAGAATACAGACACGGTGACGATTGCTGCTCACCAGAAGTCAGTTTTTTTAGGAATTCTACCAAGCATTCTTTTTTTTTTTTTTTTAAGATTTTATTTATTTATTTGAGAGACAGAGATCACAACTAGGCAGAGAAGCAGGCAGAGAGAGAGGAGGAAGCAGGCTCCCTGCTGAGCAGAGAGCCCGATGCGGGGCTCGATCCCTAAACCCTGGGATCATGACCTGAGCCGAAGGCAGAGGCTTTAACCCACTGAGCCACCCAGGCACCCCTCTACCAAGTATTCTTAATCTGGATCTATAAACCCCTGAAATTATATGCAAAATCATATGCTTATACATATGTGCTTTACTCTGGAAATAGGGACCATCATATTCTCAGAGCGGTCTGTGACCATCACCAAACTCCTTACTTTCTCCACAAAACCAGAGAATGAGTACTGAACCAGGTTTTATTCATTTTCCTTATGTCCATAGAGGCTGAGATGTCAATGAGTGCACAGAAAAAGCAGGTTTCTTATCTTCTGGGCCATAGTGGAGAGGGCTCTGTCCTCTGTTGTGACAGTGTTGTAGGTGCCTTCCACAGTGGTAGAAGAAGCCAGAATACTGGCGGTACCCATCTTTACAAAGCATCTGTTTTCCTCAGATTTTCAGGCTGGGAAAGGGGAAGGGCTTTGATTTCGTATTAAAAGATGTCCTGGAGTAGCATACAAAATTAATGTCCTTAGTGCTTACCACTACCTGACATTTATTTATTTATCTATCTGTCTAATCTGTCTATCCCAGAAGCTCCCTCAGAGCAGAGATCTTGCCATTTTCTTTGACACTGTAGCCCAAGTGCCCGGAACAACGTTTAGCACACAGTTGTCACTCCGTCAAGATCGATAGAAGAAGTGCAGAAGTGAATGAATGTGGTTATTAAAATGGAGTAAGACTTCAAATCCTGCTCTTCACCTTCATTCTCGTCTGCCTTGAGATGTACTACCCTGAGGCATCGCAAGAGGACACAGGCTCTAGCTTTGTCCTAAGGACACCGAAAGCAGTAACTTTCAGTCCCGGCTGCACATTAGATTTACCTGAGGAGGCTTAACAAAATCAATGAATAAAAATGCCCAGTTCCCCTCCAGGCATTACATCTGGACCTCTGTGAATGGGGCCTGAACATCTGTGTATTGCCGTCGTTGGGTGCACCAAGGGATTCTCGTATGCAGCCAGGCTTGAGAACCCCTGGTCTGGAGGATATGTTATGTGGAAGGTGCAGTCACAGATATGTCCTCAAGTTACTAATATTTAAGTGTAAAATGATATTTCCTTCAAATTACATTTCCTGTGAAATGTATTCATTTTCTTCAGGATGTATGTACATTTTGCTGTGACCTGGAATGTCCATCAGAGTTCCCTCTTCTCACTAAAGAGAGTAAGATTTATCAACGAAAACCTTGTCATAATAGAGAAGTCCTAGCTATATTTTGCCATGTTATCCATGTGTACGTGAGGCATTTCAAGAAAATACTTAAGCTGTCATCAAGAGACAGGAGAGTATTGCATGGCTCACAGTTCCTTTGACTGTCCTTACCGCCTTCCCTATCTTCTGATACTCTATTTGAAGTATGGCCAGAAGAGAAAGAGTTCTGTTCCTTTCTTTTTCACACTTGTGCTCAGCTGCACAAAGTGGTGTTATGTGATCCAAATCCAAACCACATAATAATGTCCTTATTCCTAGGAAAAGATGTGAGCCAGAGAGATCACAAGGTAATAGAAAGTAAGTTCTGAACTGGGTGTTCTGCATCCATTGAGAAAGAACACTAACCACTCTGGGATCCAGGGAGAAGCTAAGGGGACCAGAGCAGAAATGTAAGTAGGAAAAACTAGACAATGTCACAGCACCTTAAGTGGGGGGTCCAAAGTAAACTATATTTTTTTGCTGTTCTAAGAATTGCCGGAAAAGTCAGACCTACCCCAAGTCTAGTGAATGAGTTTTTAAGGGGGAAAAAAAAAAGTTTTTTTTTTTTTCCCCACTTCTTTCAGGAAATGGCCAGCCTCAAACGACAATTCACTGAACTGTTATCAGATATAGGCTTTGTAAAGGAGGGACTCAGAGCAAGGGAAATTGAGAAAAGAGCCCAAGGAGGAGATGGTATCTTGGACGCCACAGGAGAAGAGGTAATGAATGTGTAGTTAGTTCTTTTATTTATCTTTAATTAGTACACAGATAGTATATTAACTCACTTAATATTTCATTTAAGCCCTCTGAGCAGTGGGCTTGATGCCATTCTTGATTTTCTTTCCACAAATAAGTCAGGTAATACTCCTAAAAACAGGAGGGTTTGTCTGTTAATTTTTGCTACTTTTTTTTTTAATTTCACACCTGTTCTTTTTTTCTTTTTTTTTTTTTAAGGTTTATTTATTTATTTGATAGAAAGAAAGAGTGGGGGCATAGAAGCGGGAGGGGCAGAGGGAGAGGGATAGAGAAACTCAAGAAGACTTCAAGCTGAGCACAGAGCCTGATGCAGGGCTCGATCCCACCACCCTGAGACCACGACCTGAGCTGAAACCAAGAGTCGGATGCTTAACCGACTGCGCCACCAGGGTGTCCCCACACCGGTTCTTGATAAGCCTGTAAGAGATGAAATAGATGTTTCAATAATGTCTTCTTAAATCACACCAGCCTTTTTCCAACCGAGGATAGTTTTTTTTTTATATGACCACAGGAAGAACGCCTCTTCGAGAAGAACCTGATGCTGCTCTGGTCCCAGTGCAGTTAGTACTTTCTGCAGATCATGAGCATCTCATGAGCCAGAGTCTCTGTCCCCCGAGCCTTGGGCACACTGGCTTTGTAACTGCTTTGCAGAGACCCAGAGTTACTGTGGGCTTCTTGGAGTACATCCTATGTGAATATGGTCCAGTAGTCTTACTTTTCACTTAGAAAGAAGGAATTTTTCTAGCAAAAATATAGAAACTAGGTATTTTAGTTTTGTTTTAAGACCGAAATCAAATGAAATATAATGGTAAATTCCAGGGTACAAACAGAAGTAGCCACATTACTGATAAGATCAATGCTGTCTTTCTCTCGTAGGCAAACTCCAATGCTGAGAACCCCAAGCTGATATCAGCCATGCTGTGTGCTGCTCTTTATCCAAATGTAGTGCAGGTAACAAACATTTTTCCTAGGTTCTCCCACTTCTTGTTTGATCTGTAGCCAAGGGACATAAGCGAAGACATACACATTAACCATGTTAAAGAGACACCTACAGAGACACACAGAGCCTTTTAAACTTTGTATACATTTCCAGTCCTTCAGTTCCCCAAATCTGTTCAGATACATTGTTCAAGAACACATTTATTTTATAAAATGAGGTGCCTTTTTAATCCTTCTGACATATTATGATGTTCTAAAAAATTTAAATGGACATAAATGTCACCCAGCTGGGTAACCTGTGCATAACTAGCCTTCTGTATTAGACAGAAGTTTGGTTCTACTACAGTTTCTCCTCTGGCCTCTGCTCAGGACTGCAGTTAGATGAGAACAAAATCAAACAAGCCAGGGCTCTGCTGTGGGACCACCTATGGCCAGCCTTCTGGAATACCCTCCTCTATGTGCTATTGGACTTTTACCTAAGTTTTAATTATCCAGTCCTTGCCAAACTGAGAAAGACTAAGAGTTTGTCTGAGTGCTAAATTGTTTCTCATTTAACATTTTGTTAAATGCTCAGTTGACATCTGCTGATGAATTTCTGGGACAGAAATTCAGTACTTGCATGCTTTTCAAACCATTTGAACTTTATTTTAAAAAACCATTTGAAACAAAAGTATGGAGATAGAGAAAAAAAAAGCAACACCAAGGACTGAGAAGAATAAAGCAGTCAGAGCATAAACTTTTAGGGCAATGAAAAGATTCTGTATGATACCATTGTAATAGGTGCACATCATTTACATTTACACAAACCCATATACACGACCAAGAGCGAACCCTAAGGTTAACTATGGGCTTTGGGTGATTCTGATGTGACACAAGTTTTTAAAAATTATAATACTCGTGCTGTCAGAAGCCCTCCACAATGAACCCTGTCACTCTTAGTGGGAGTATAAATTGATACACCCATTCTAGATTTCATTTCTGAGGACTTGTTAGGAAATAATTACAGATATGCATAAAGGTACAGCAAAGGAAATGTTCACTCTAGTTCTGTTTATAATTGCAAACAGTCTGAAGTACCAATAAGAGGGAATTTATTAGCTAAATTTACATAGATCTTTATAACTAGGTTAGCCATTTAGAATTGTGTTTTAAGAAAATATTTAACAACATGGAAAGATGTTCTCAATGTATTAAGTTTAAAAAACTACATTGGAGAAAATGATCCTACATTAGTTTCAATGCATGTATATTTTTATTTATGTCATACATTTATAGTTTCTCTGTTTCTGTATATAAACAAATCTAGGACTGAAAACTAAAATGTTTATCAAATATAGTGTTAATTATTTCTTAATTGTGTGATTACAGGATATCATTATTTTCTTCTTCTTTCCTAATACTTGCATGGAAAAAAAATATATGTGTGTGTGTGTGTGTGTGTGTGTGTGTGTGTGTGTGTATAATTATCCCCCCCCCGCCCCCGCCAAAAATACTTGTTGTTTAGGTGAAAAGCCCAGAAGGGAAATTTCAGAAGACCAGTACTGGAGCTGTCAGAATGCAACCCAAATCAGATGAGTTGAAGTTTGTCACCAAGAACGATGGCTACGTGCACATCCACCCTTCGTCAGTGAACTATCAGGTCGGAATGGTGGGGTGCACCTGCATTTACATATGGCAGGCCTTACGGAGAGCAGCACAGTCCCTTCAAGTCAGCCCAACCTCCTTCTATCATTCTCTGTCCCAGCAGCACCACTGACTTGGGGAAGGTTGAATAAGCATGAATAGACTAGAAATTGGACTGTCTGGGGAAAGACTATTTCCATGTTAAAGAAAATTCTACTGGATACCGCGAAAAGGCTCAAACCTGCTTTCAGATGTATAATTGTTTCTCTACAGCGGTCATTTCTTAAGAAGTCAGGCTGTAACTGCATCACTAAATGTGTGTCTTAAAAGGGAACGGCCTGTACTTGCCGATGGCGCCTCCTGGGTGCTTCTTCCTCCTGCCACTGCCGGGCTGCACTCCTGCTGCTCCGCTCAACTCACCACAGGTTACACATGGCCTCCTAGTTGTCAAACCCAGAGAACACATTCCCTCCCCCTGGTCCTCATCAAACTTGACTCTTGCGTAGTATTAGACAGCACTAACCTCCTGTCCTGAAACCATCTTTTTTTTTTTTTTAAGATTTTTTATTTATTTATTTGACAGAGAGAGACACAAGAGAGGGAACACAAGCAGGGAGAGTGGGAGAGGGAGAAGCAGGCTCCCCGCTGAGCAGGGAGCCCAATGTGGGGATCGATCCCAGGACTCTGGGATCATGACCCGAGCTGAAGGCAGACGCTTAACGACTGAGCCACCCAGGTACCCACGAAACTATCTTTGATGTGGTTTTGCTCCAGAAATGCCACTTTCTTCTCTCTCTCTCTCTCTCTCTGATCATCCCCGACACTTCTTTGACTAGTTCCTCGTCCTTCGCTCCGAAATTGTGGTTCTGTCCGTAGGCCTCCTTTTCTCCATACATTCCAATTTACTCTTCCCGAACCATCAGGGCACTGTGATTCTGACTGCCACCTCCATGCTGTCACAGAGCCCCAGATCCCTGTCTCAGGGCCTGGGCTTCTGAGCTCTCCTGCTGGAGCTCATCAGCCGGATGCCTGCCAGTCACCTCAGACTCATTATCTTCCACTTCCCTCTTCTCTTCCTTTCTTCCCTGTCTCGGTGAACGGCACCATCCCAGTCAGAGCCCTGCGGTCACAGGGTCCCTGCCACTCTTCTCCTTACTCCAGTCCATTTGGACCGCAGGTCCCAGCAGTTGCACCTTCTGACACTCTTGGATGGGCCTACTCCTTTCTCCCCACCGTCCCTTCCTCAGGTCAAACCTCAACATCTGTCTCCTGCCTAAAGTGCTATCACGATCTTTTAGTCCTTTCTCTGGGTCCTGCTGCCAAAATTAACTTTGCAAAACACACATTCGGTCATGTCATTCCCTGGCTTAGAACTCTTCTTGTGTGCAAATGCTCCTGGGACCCTGCGTGCCTGCCCCTCCTGTACCATGTCCCCCACGGCTCCTCCCTCAGTCCTTCTGTGTGCCGTGACTTTGGACACACTTCCTCAGGAAGGACACACTTCCTCTCATTCTCAGCAAGCTCCTAGCCTTTGAGCTTCCATGAAGAAGCTCTCCCTCAAAGTTGCTTTTTACTTCCAGTTCTGCCATCGTGCATTTTATCCACTCTTGTGTTTATCACGTTATTTTAAGGTTTATGGTATGTTTCCTTCATGGAATTGTGAAATTCCTAAAGACAAGAACTGTATGTCTGCATTTTTATATTCTCGATGTTTAGCGTGGTGCCTAACTGAAAGCAGATGCTCAGTAAAACTTCGAGGGGAGGGGCGCCTGGGTGGCTCAGTGGGTTGAAGCCTCTCCCTTCAGCTCAGGTCATGATTCCAGGGTCCTGGGATCGAGCCCCGCATCGGGCTCTCTGCTCAGTGGGGAGCCTGCTTCCTCCTCTCTCTCTGCCTGCCTCTCTGCCTACCTATGGTCTCTGTCAAATAAATAAATGAAAATCTTTAAAATAAAATAAAATAAAATAAAAACTTTGAGGGGAGATGGAACAAAAGAGGACAGGAGGACGGAGGAAGAGAATTTGAAGTGTGAGGACTGGTCAGCCCCCTGCAACTACTGAGTAACATGTCTGCAAAGCATGAAAAGGGTCTCTTAAAGCCCAGAAGAATTTGAGGTCCGGGAGGTCATCTGGTCTCTCAGCCACACATGTACTTAGGAGCTAGAGGTCTGAGTTAGCTCCACTCCTCTTCCAAGGTTACCACGGCATTCATGCGATGAATCCAAATTATTCATGCATCCGTTCAGTGTCTACTAGCGACTCCTCCGTGCCAGGCACTATGGCAGGCTGTGGAAGACAGTGGATGAACTAGACAGACAAGGGCTCTAACCTCAGAGAGCTTCTGTTCTGCTGAGGAAGACAGGCAAGAAGCAAGTAAACAGATCATCTCAGGTCAGTGACAAATGCTACCAAGAGAAATAAAACAATAAGAGGTTGAGAGTGACAGGAGAGGGGCCATTTTGCTGAGTGGTCAGGGAAGAACTCTCTGAGGATAAAACAACTGAGCAGATCCTAAATGCAGTGAAGGCCGAGCCATGGAGATATCTAAGGAGAGAACATTCCAGCAGAGGAAATGAAGCGGGAGCACACTGGCGTGCTGGGGGGTGGGGGGGGCGATGCAGGCCAACAGCCAGGACAGGCAGAGTGGGACGTGAGGAGCCAGAAGAGCAGCTGTGCTGGGACAAGCAGGCAGGGCCAGGTCGTGTAGGCCATGGTACAGGCCGTGGTAAGGATCTGAGGTTTTATTCTTAGTCCCCGGAGGGTTTTGAGCATATCTTTTTCTTTTTTTTTTTTTTTAAGATTTTATTTATTTGACAGACAGAGATCACAGTAGGCAGAGAGGCAGGCAGAGAGAGAGAGAGAGAGAGGAGGAAGCAGGCTCCCTGCTGAGCAGAGAGCCTGATGCGGGATTCGATCCCAGGACCCTGAGATCATGACCTGAGCTGAAGGCAGAGGCTTTAACCCACTGAGCCACCCAGGCACCCCTGAGCATATCTTTTTAAAAGCTCATGGTGGCTGCTGGGTGGGAAAGAGATTGTGAAGAGGGAAAGCAGCAGGCAGGTGAGCGTGAAGGAAGCCGTGGCGGTCGCCTGGGGAGTCGGTAATGCTCCGAGCTGAGGTGGTCACTGTCACAGTGGGGAGAATATGTCAGATCCTTATGTTTTTAGAAAATAGAACCGACAGAACCTCGTGATAATTTCAATGGAGAGGAAAGAACAGTCGAGGATGGCTTCGAATTTGGGACGTGAGCTGCAAGGCGAATGAGACCATCATGTCCTGAGTGGGAGGGGAATACTGTAAGGAGGGGAACATCAAGAATTCCTTTTGGGGGCGCCTGGGTGGCTCAGTGGGTTAAAGCCTCTGCCTTCGGCTCGGGTCATGATCCTAGGGTCCTGGGATCGAGCCCCGCATCGGGCTCTCTGCTCGGCGGGGAGCCTGCTTCCTCTCTCTCTCTCTCTCTGCCTGCCTCTCTGCCTACTTGTGATCTCTGTCAAATAAATAAATAAAATCTTTAAAAAAAAAAAAAAAAAGAATTCCTTTTGGACATTAAGTCCGAGGTGCTTATTAGGTATCCAGGGTGAGACGCCAGGAAGGCATTCACACGTGGGAGCCTGGCCTCAGGGGACAGGTACCGGCTGGAGAGGACTGGGGGAGTCGTTCACGGACAGGTGGTGCTTCAATCTGTGGAAGGGGGGAGTTCCCCTCCGGCTGACAGTGTCATCATCTGAGGTTTTCTGTTCCAGGTCAGACACTTTGACAGCCCCTACCTGGTGTACCACGAAAAGATCAAAACTAGTCGGGTGTTCATTCGAGACTGCAGTGTGGTGTCCGTGTACCCCCTGGTCCTGTTCGGGGGAGGCCAAGTGAGCGTGCAGCTTCAGAGAGGGGAGTTTATCGTGTCCTTGGATGACGGTTGGATCCGTTTTGCGGCTGCTTCGCATCAGGTAAGGGCTAGCGGGCCTGTCTGTGAGGCGTGGGCCCTGAAGGGCTTTGGTGCTGTGAAGTAGAGGGCATTCCTTCAGGGGCCAAGGACGACAGAGCTGAGGAAGAGTGAATGATGAGAGGGGCGGTGGGACACGGAGAGCGACCGACGCTAGACAGAGGCCAGAGCTAGAGGCTCAGTGAGAGACTGGGAAGTGCATGGGGAGGGAGGCCCAGGATGGGCTGGTGTGAAGGGTTTGGGACAGAAGCCGTGAGTGAGTTGTTGGACCTTCCTAATTGTTGTACAAATAACACATGTTCACCAAAGAAAAACCAGAAAATGTAGATGAGCAAAAATAAACAAAAATCACCCTGATTCTACCACTACCATTAAGGAAAAAATAAAGGTAACGGGTCTGAATTCTTTTATTCTCAGGTCTCACATATTCACTGTTGGAATCTCTGCAGAAACATTTAAGGAGGAATATATGTTTAGGAAATAGAAATTCATTTTAACATTTGCATCTGGTAGAAAGGTAGCAAGAAGCAGAAACGCCAACTCAAACATTCATGTGAATTTATTGGCACATTTAACTGTAAAGTCTAAAACAGCATAGTCCAATAAAAATATGTGAGCCATATATGTAATTTGTTTTTCTAGTAGCCACATATAAAAAATAGGTGAAACTAATCTTAATTAAAAAGTTTTAATTTCAACATGTAATCAGTATAAGAATTTATTGAGATATTTTATACTGGGTTTTTATACTAAATCTTTAAAATCTGGGGTGTACTTTACACTCACAGCACATCTGTTCAAACTTGCCATTAGATTAGCTACATGTGACAGGTGTCTGCCATCTTGCATGGAAAAGGTCTAGAAGGCCAGGCATGGTTGGTTTAATTCAGCAGCTCAAGTACGACAAAAGCCTGACTGACCTCATGGTAGCAGTGTGACTGCCATAGCTCCAGGCTTCACATCTGTGCAGCAACAAACTGTGCAGGAGTGGAGACAAGAAACTTCCTCTCCTAAATCAATTTCTCTAGCCAAAGGAATGTCATAAACTCTAAGGCCCAGATGATCTGAGTCATTCACTCTGGCAAAGCTCATGGCGTGAGCCTGTTGGAGTTAGGTTGGGGTGCAGACTGCACGGTTGCCACATGATCGGGGAGCAGCAAACCATGTTGGGAAGACGTCTCCGTGCCCACCACACAGAAGCATAAGAAAACGCCATGAAAAATGTGGAGCTATTTCTTACCATGAAAGCGTCAAATGTATCCCAAAGCTACAGATTTTTTGGCTTAATATCTAGCATTTTAAATTCTCCATTTTCCTGCTTCTCCTCTTGGAGCAACTTGTAAAAGTTGACCAGGCTTTAATATGCAGAACACTACATAGAAGCCATTCTTCCAGATTTAATCTTTTCTTTAAATGAGATGTGCTAGAGGAGCCTTTTTATAATAGATTTCATTTATTATATTGCAGAGCTGACATTGAGTGAATGTTCTTATAGTTGCATCAAGAAATTTTAGAAGCCCTTTAGAATAAAAATGTGTTTAGTTTCTCCTCCCCACCCCCGCATGGAGTTAAAATTACTACCAGAAATCTAGATAATGATAATCATCAGTGGGACATTACCTTTACTAACCTTTCCTCCCCTGGTGCCCCAATCACTGCTCACATTGCAACTTTCATTTCAGGTGGCCGAATTAGTAAAGGAACTCCGTTGTGAACTTGACCAGCTCCTCCAGGATAAGATAAAAAACCCAAGCATAGATCTGTGTACATGTCCTCGAGGATCCCGGATCATCAGCATGATTGTGAAACTTGTCACCACACAATAAAGACCAGTCTCAGGAGAGTGCTTGCTATTCCCCTGCTTCTTGCTCACCTGGGAAATAACAGCAGCACCTCTCCCTCCAGGCAGGCTCCCTCTCAGGGCTGCCCTGAGAGGAGGTGAAGGAGCCCAGGGCAGGCACCGCGCAGGCCCTGAGGCACCGCATACCTTTAGGGAAGGTTCCCAGACTGAGTATTTCTGACAGAACAAGGACACTCCCAGCACAATTTGGAGGGTCCGTGTGAGGCAGTCTAAGAAACCGGCTTGCCTGTCTTTTTCTCTGTGACTATACCGAAATGAATGAAATTCACCTCATCATACAAAAGTGAATGTTTAATACGATTTGGTTTTAATCTATGTATTTTTTTTTCTCCTTTTTTACTGGGGTGAGATAGGAGCATGAGGAGAAATACTGAATTTTTTTTCTATCGTAAAAGCTCATCTGAAAGAAGTTAGAATAGAGAAGGACAAAAAATCATGTAAGCAAGAAAAATTAAAATTTCATTTTAGGCTATTAGCTATGAAGTAAACTTAAACTTGATCTGTGAGGGATTTTTTTTTTACTCATTAAAGGTCGGCCTAAAAAACCTGAAGAGCTCTTATTTGTTTTTAAAGTGCGAGCTGGTTTTATCCTTACCATTCTTCTTCTTAGAAGCAGAAGAGTCTAGGTGTCTTTGTTCTGTTTTCGGATTTCCATTTAGGAATCTCTGCTCTTTCTTAGGAACACCCAGATCTAATGGCCACATTGCACATTACCCAGCGAGGAATTTTGACGGTCTTCTCAGAGCAGACTTGGCACAGTCGAGGTAGAAAAGGTTGCCATGCTAGTGTCAGATTTTCAGCCATAAAAATATCTTCCAGGAGGCTGCTTATTTTCATCCACCACTTAGGTGAATGGGGAGCTAGCATTTTGAAAAACTATCAGTACATTGATATTTTCTCTAGGCATTTATCCGTGTGGCCAGGAAGCATAGCAGAGAGCTGAGTAGAAAAAATATTCTTACGTTTGTGTGGCACTCGGGTAGTCACTGCAGGTTTTATACTATAGATAGAATTCAGACTAATCAGCAGAACCACCACAGTGAAGGGCGTTCACTTTTCACAGTATTATTTCAGTTAAATTTTCAGGAAACCTTCTAGGCTGTCTAAAACGGTCATTGCCCAGCGTGTTTAAGCCTTGGCACTCTCGAAGAGCTTAGACTCTAAGTAGTATTGTTTAAAAGGCATTAATTCACGTCATCACTTTAAGTTAAAAAACACGCATATGCATAGCACCTACAGTATTCAAATTCTGACTCGCAACGGAAACCAGGCTCACATTACAGAACTGCTCAGGAGAAATGAAGAAGACCACACTAACCCTCTAAAACATCTTTTGGAACCAGTTCTGACTCTCAGTGCTACAGTGGAGCTGATGCTGGCTGCCCCCCGCCCCCAGAGACATCTGCCCAAGCAGACCTGCAGCTTTCCACGGGGTTTGCAGCAGAGCACACAGCGGGAAGTAAACTGCACAACTTTCCATCCTGAGCGCTGAGAAATCGCTCCCCTCGGGGAAGCTATCCTTGGGCTGGTTACTTGTAGCCACACACAAATGCACAACTCATTCCACAGATGTGCCAGAATATGGAAGAGATCAGGAAGCCTTGACTGAAGACACTAAGAAAATCCTCCCTGCCAAAACCAAACTTCTTCAGCCCCAGCAGTAAAATTATGAAGTCAATGAAACAGGATGACTTCTTCACAATTGAAGGTCAGAATGCAGTATGGCATTTCACAGTGAAATCGGATTTCTAAACCCCAGCAAGATGGTCAGCACTTAATGTTCATTTTATGGAGAATTCTGTAAATGTAAATGTCTGCAGTATTTGTTTTACTGGAATCTAGCTAGGGAACAATATTGGTAAAGTACTTGCTACAAAATTAGTCTGGGGTTTTGTAATCTGGGTCTATGGGGAGTTCTCAGGAAATGAGAATAGGTAAACATTCTTGCAGAGGTGGTCATAGGTTGGCAAAGCACTAGTTTTGTCTTCTTCCTCCTTGAGTTCCGTATCTGAATATTACAATTCAGACTCCCTGAGAAGTAATGAACTTTGGTCTTTATCCTCCCATTCTATTATTCGGGCAGTTTAACTAATACACCAAAGCGCACACAGCCTGTGGATCTGTATGCATGTGGTAAATGTTCTTTTTCCTTTCTAGGCAGTGGTTGGAATATGTCCTTAAGAGGTTATCATAAAATAAGACCTTGTGAAAGTACTTTGTAAAATTAAAATGTAGCAAATGTAAGCAAATTGGGACCGAGGGTGTGGTTTTCAGATGTGGCCCAGGCTGGCTTTTTGAGAACTGCACTCTTGTGTTTCTCAATTGCTGGGCTGAGCTGGGGCGCTCAGGCATCACACTTGGAGGGTGTCTTGTGGGTATCACCTAGTTGCCACATAAATGAGGATCCCTGGGGGCGTGATAATTATGCTCACACTGCCATTATGCTTAAACAAGCCTAGGCACATGTTGGCTCTTTCCTCCTAAGTCATGCTAGAATTAAGCAGAATGCCTAGGGCTTATTTTCTCCCAAATGCAGGGGGAAAGTTTGCTTGAAATTTTTAGCCAGTTAATAAATACAGGGTGATCTATTGTTTTCAGAAGTTAAATCTTGATCGTGAAACTCTGTCAATACTTGAGTACCCCACAGTACAGTGCTTCGGGTGGAAACAATGTAGAAACAGCTAACACGGTGTATTGTCCCAGCAATCATTTCAGACTGTTCCAGAGTGGCAGGCTTCTTCCATTCTTTTTAAGTCTCACACGTGTAAAGCTATATAATGACTGTGTAAACTATTAATCACAATGAGGCATTAACAGGAGAGACTTTTTTCTTGCCATTTCAAAGTTAATACCCCCAAAACCATATATCAAAGAGATTGGTCTTCAGTAAGATTTTTAGCCAATCACTAATCCTTAAGGTGCTTTCAAATCTTAGATGTCTTAATGATTTGCTTTGTCAAAGAGCGGAGAAAGAGTTGTGCTGGAAATCACTCGCCTGATATGAGCCACCAGGAGTAAGGGCCATCGATATTTCATAAAGATACAGGACAGCAGCCCAAACACAAACTTGTTCCCACAGACAGTTCCACCTCTGCCCCATCTTAGCCCAACAGGGGCCATCCCCACATTTACTCCTGAGTCAGTTCCAACCCAGTGAATTGAGTGAACAATTGAGTAAACAAAGAGAGCTAGGAGGAAGATGGCTTAGAATCCATTTACTGGATTTCTCCATCTGTATTTCAACTTTTTAGGAAAGAAACAAATTGCAACAAAAGACAGTATGAGGGGTTGGTTTGAAAAAGCAGCTTCCCAGGGACAGCTGGGGGCTCATGTCTCATTCTTGATTTTGGCTCTGGTCACGATCTCAGTGTGGTGATATCGAGCCCCACATTGGGCACTGTGATCAGCAAAGTCTGCTTGAGATTCTCTCCCCCTCTCTCCCTCTGCCTGTGCCCCCTGCTTATGGGCTCTTTCTCTCGCAGTAAATAAATACTTTTTGTTTTAAAGGCAATTTCCCATACATACCAGCAATGTATTTGAGATGATGACCCTGACATTACAAATACAATATTCCTAAATATGGTGTAATAATGTATTTAATAAACATTTTCAGCAGAAGTATTTCAAACTGAGGGTTTTTGTTATTATTATTCCCTATGCAGAAAAATGCAGTCACTGATACCTCCTCCAACCTAGGTTTTACTAAAAATGGCCTGAAGGAGGTAATTTTCCTTTCAAGTCAAATGAGCTTATTTTTATAAAGGGGAGAGTATCCCTGGCCGATTTTCCTCTACAGTGATTCAAGACAGGATAACATAGCCCAAAAGACTTATTTACTTACTGAGCATCCCCTTCTAGTAAGTTTTGCCTCATTCCATCCCTGAGTTTCAGGTGTATTAAAAGTATGTGTTAACCATTCAAATAAGACTTTATTTGTCCGTAGAGGTTGATTAACTATAATAGAGATCTTACCATGTACAAGGACTATAAAGAAGTTTCCTCACAGGAGCAAATGTGTATTTTGCTTGTTTTAAACCAGTGGTTCTCAACTGGAGACAATTTTGCCCACCAAGGCCCATTTAGCAACATCTGGAGATGTTGTCACAACTGAGTGGGGATTGGGGGTTACTCCTGGCATCCAGGGGTTAGAAGCCAGAGATGCTGCTGAGTATCCTACAATGCATAGAATCTTCCTCGAACATTACCCAGTTCAAAATGTCAGTAGTGCCAAGGTGGAGAGAACCTATTTAAACAAAATGAGATAGGTGACTACTTAAAATGTCTAGCTATTAGTTACTAATCATATAAATTATGCCCATGGTTGTGTCTGAAAATTATGCCTAAATCAACCCTAATCAACATGTACTGTGTGAATATGAGCATATGAGTCCATCATGTTGTTACCAAATGCAGAGTACTCAAGGTCTGAGGAAATTATATGTACCAATGGGAAAAGCTATATACAAATGGGTAGGGATACAGTTCCTTTAAAAACATGTTCTAGGGCGCCTGGGTGGTTCAGTGGGTTAAGCCGCTGCCTTCGGCTCAGGTCATGATCTCAGGGTCCTGGGATCGAGTCCCACATTGGGCTCTCTGCTCAGCAGGGAGCCTGCTTCTCTCTCTCTCTCTCTGCCTGCCTCTCCGTCTACTTGTGATCTCTCTCTGTCAAATAAATAAATAAAATCTTTAAAAAAATAAATAAAAATAAAAAAATAAAAACATGTTTTACCATTAAATTTCATTTTTGTAATTATCACATTTTGAAAATGTGAAAATAAGTTAAAATGTGCTTTGAAAATACAATTAGTATGCGACACTAATACTGTTAACATTTTCCACTTGCAAAACTCAAGTTCTCACACTTAGGCCCACATTAGATATCTGAAATACACACACCCTTACTTTATCATTCTGTTACCTGAACAGAGTCCAACCTTTGGCCAATATTATAACACAAATAGGGTTTTAAGAAGGGGGATGG